ATTCTGCCACCGCTTAGGGGTCCAGTCGAGACAGGCTTGATGCTTCTATCTGGGGGGGGTGCAGCATCAATTCCCAATTTGCGTAGGTGTGTCTCCAGCTCTGAGAAGCTGTGTGCTCGGTATGTTGTGCTTTGCTGGTGAAAGGCCCACCGATTATCCCCACCAATATTGATATTTTCTGGTTTCTGACTTTGGCTTTTGTTTTTACTTTCCCTACTTCTAGTATCCTGACCTTTGGCTAGTATATTCGTATTGTCTCATTCGGTATCCCCGACCTCGGCTTGTTATTTTGAACATTCTCTTTTACGTTAAGTCTGGCCATTCTAAGGCTCGGTATACGTTGTTTGTGTTATCATAGTTTTGCGATTAGGTCCCCCCCAGCCTCAGGGCCCCCCTCCCGCTGGGCTGAAGGGGTTAAAACCCCTTCAGCCACTTACCTTTCTCCAGTGCCGGGCTCCCTCGGCGCTGGTGACCTCTCCTCCCTCTGCTGACGTCAAGTCCGAATGCGCATGCAGGGCAAGAGCCGCGCACGCATTCAAACCGCCCATAGGAAAGCAATACTCACTGCTTTCCTATGGACGTACAGAGTCACAGTGAGAAGCGTGGAAGCGCCTCTAGCAGCTGTCAGTGAGACAGCCACTAGAGGCTGGATTAACCTCAGTGAAACATAGCAATTTTCTCTGAAACTACTATGTTTTCAGCTGCAGGGTTTAAACTAGAGGGACCTGGCACCCAGACCACTTCATTGAGCTGAAATGGTCTGGGTGCCTATAGTGGTCCTTTAAGCTACCTTTAGTATCTGAGATTGCTCTTGCATAGTGAGAGCTTTGTGTTTTTACAGTTGTGGCTTGTCAAAGCCGAGTTAGTATTTTTCTTTGCAGTCTAGTTTTTTTTGCAGTTGCTCATAGTCAGAGCAATTTAGTGTCAGAAAAACACACTACCATTAAAGGCTGTTATCCCACAGTAATTGTTAATTAACATCCAGTAAACTTATTATTGGCATCTGTCTTAAATGCCATAATGATACAATGGAAAATAAACAGCCAGTATATGTAATAAAATAAAAGTTTGCTGAAGTGCTTTATGTGTTGAGTGTGTGTTCCCCCTTTTCAGTAATTTTACATTAAGTGCAGGTTTCAATAGAAATTGGTGCTTTTATAAATTAATCTTCTTTTATAAAGTTACAACCCTCTTGCTGTCAGGCAACCTGTTACTTCCTGGTTGTTTAGCTTTGTGGACAGCAATTGAAAAAGTGAACAGCTCAATAGGCAGCAATTGCCCAAAACACCTGCCTTGCAAAGACTTCTCATTGTAAGTCTGTGATTGGACAGCCATAAAAAGTCTGGGTGGGGTTAGAAGGGGAGAACTTGCAAAGGCTTCAGACAAAAGTTTTGCAAGCTGTTTTTAGATATAGCACCAATAAAAAAAATGCATAATTATATGCATGTTTGTACTGGAGATATATGTAGTGAACAGTAACTTATTTTTGTATTGTCACTGCACCAGGAAGTATAAACACTCCTGATTTTAAAGCTTTGTTATACGGATTTACCATGATAAGATGAGTAATTAAAGGACCATCTATTCTACACCACTGTAGAAACTACAATGCTTCCATTGCAAGGTTAAACACACCTGTAGTGGCTGTCTTTCTGACAGCCACTAGAAACTCTTCAATATGAGAACTGAGTCAGATTTGGTTCTCAACCAAATGCTGCTCCTAGAACAGCATTTGACTGGAGCCACACAGTGAGTTACCGGGCATGTGCAGTAGCCTCCAAATGCATTCCTATGGGAAAGCATTGGATTGGCTAAAATAATCAATTATTCAATAAAATAGGCATTAAAAGTAATGTTTCAGTGTTTGCAGATGACACAAAACTCTGTAAAGTAATGCAATACGAGCAGGATAGATTTAGATAGATTGGAGGACTGGGTACTCAAATGGTAGATAAAAATGCAAACGTGTGCACTTCGGGGTAAAGAATGCATAAGCAATGGTAGTGAATTGGGGTTAACACCACACAAGAAAGATTTGGGAATTGTTATAGACAACAAACTAGGCAACAATGTACAATGACAAGTAAGAGATTGTCATGTATAAAATGGGCATTAATTCTCAGGATTAAAATGTAATTTTGTCTTTTTATAAATCAATGAAACCACACCTTGAATATGTTGTACAGAGGAAGGCTACAAAATTAATAATAGGAATGGAACATTTTTGGTTGCCCGAGTAGTCAATTAGCCAGGAAAACAGGCATGATAGTATCATCTGTTGTATATGAACTGGTCTAATACGCGGTGGTGCTGTGGGAATAGTCCAGTATGGAATTGACTGTGTAAGCCCAATGGCGGCTGGATAGTAAGGTCGACCCCGGGAAACTTAAATGACCCACATGACAACTTCGGTACTAATCATAATGTATGTGGCATGTTGCATGCATCGTAAATTGACAATTTGCTACACTGAATTTGTACAATGAGAGGTAAGGAGAACGTCCGTTATGAGGGAATTATTACCTTTTGTTCGTTTGGCCAGGAGTAGGCCGTGTAGGTAGGGTCGTGAGGAGAGCTACTGTTTGGCCGTATGTGGACAGTGCAAGATATAGCCGAAGTATAATACTATGAGACGTGGTTGATTTAGAGGTAGAAAGCTGTGAGATAGCTGCACTTTACGCACATATTCCTATCCAGCTGATATGTGAACTAGGTGCCCAAATGAGGGGTTGCAAATAAGACGTATTTGTCCACTAAGGTTACCTGAATTATGTTGCCAAGGCCCATAGATGGCTTGTGTGAGGACTATGCATAAGAGGTTGAGAGCGGCCCATTGTAGTTCTGTGGTACTGGGAAGTAACGTAAATCTGAGTGGAATTTAATGGGGTGGGGTTTGTGGTTTAATTAAGTTGTAGATCAGTTGGTTATGACAGCGTAGCCATAATTGAGATATGGTTATACTGATATCATACAGCAACTTTCAGCATAACATATGATCGTTGTAGGGTCTACACGGGGAACCTGATAGAGGTGCTGAAATGCCATGACAAAATATACTATATACCTGCTGAGTCCAATGGCCTGAGGGTAGACGTACCGGACACAATTGCCAGGAATATAGGCTGAGACATGTGGAATGAAGTAGTGTTTCTACTGACATAAGACCAGGAAGGTTATACCTATACCGATAAAAAATATTTCAGTCTTGTGACTCTGGCCTTAAGGCCACTAAGATATCGCCCTAGGTGTATGAGCGGTACTCTGTGATATCTTGGGAGGCAATGAGAACGAGACTAACGTCCCTGCCCTCCAGGATGTTCTTTGAGGTTAAGCCGGTACCATATGGTTGGGGTAATGACTTGAGGCCCTAAGATGATGGGCGTGTTAGAATAACCAGGTTGGAAAATGGGGAGGGCTCGTAATATCAGTTGCGAGTGGTTTCTGGTGTCAGGACTGGACAGCTGCGAGCTTCCAGTCTCTCTAATCTATCGGTCATCTGCCTCATGGATGTTACTATAGAGGCAATCCTGTTATACAGGTTGGCATTGCTTGTACCACTCCTTTTTTTCCCCTGTGTCTGATTTGTTAGTATTGGCTTGCATTAGCCTGAATAGTTCTGCTTTGCAGGCAGTAGGTGTAAAGGGTATTTTGCCCTGCGTAAATCGGCCGTGATTCGTGGGATGGTCCATGATCTAACTGAAGATGGACTGCCGGAATCTCCTTTTTGTGTAGGGGTGGCCGAGCTAGTAGGACTTGGAATAGAACTGTCATCTCCTTCTTCTGGAACTTGGGACGTACTAAAATATATATATGTAGGAATCGTGAGTTCCTCTTGAGGATGTATACAGTTTTGGCGAAACAATTCGTTAGACTAGTGACAGGTGAGTCCCTACTAGTTGCCAAGTGGCTGGGTCAGCTCTATCTATGGTTGGCGCGAGGGCGTGATCTGCTGGATGTGGGCTTACAAGGGATGAGTCTTTGATCTGTGGAGGGGGTGTGACGAGTGATTCCCTTGCTATGCAACATGCGAGGCGTCTAGCTATGGTTTGGCCCGTGGGCGTTATTACCTCTTTCGTGGAGGATGGGTGTTGGCCTCGCAGCACCTCTATGTCTAAGGCATAAGGTGCCTGGGAGAAATACCTAGGTGGCCATACCCACTCGTGTCTATGGAATTAATCTTTATACTAAATCAGTGTTTAAGAAACCAGGAGCAAATACTTGTATGAACAACAGGGGTCAAGTCCTGTGGAAAAAAGTGTGGGAACTCACCCAAGATTCCCGCCTCACCCCCCCCCCTTAAAAAAAAAAAATTACATTCCTATGCATATAGTGCAGTGCAGGGTGTGTATAATGAATGTAGTGTGTTTGTAGTGAATGCAGAGTATGAATAATAAATGTAGTGTGTTTGTAGTGAGTGCAGTGTGAATAATAATTGTAGTGTATTTGTAGTGAGTGCAGAGTGTGTATAATGAATGCAGTGTTTTTAGTGAGTGCAGAGTGTGTATAATGAATGTAGTGTATTTGTAGTGAGTGCAGTGTGTATAATAAATGTAGTGTGTTTGTAGTGAGTGCAGTGTGTATAATAAATGTAGTGTGTTGGTAGTGAGTGCAGTGTGTATAGCGAATGCAGTGTTTTTGTAGTGAGTGCAGAGTGTGTATAATGAATGCAGAGTGTGTATAGTGAATGTAGTGTGTTTGTAGTGAGTGCAGAGTGTGTATAATGAATGTAGTGTGTTTGTAGTAAGTGCAAATTGTGTCTAATGAATTTAGTGTTTGTAGTGAGTGCAGAGTGTGTACAATGAATGCAGTGTATGTAGTGTGTTTGTAGTGAATGCAGAGTGTGTATAGTGAATGTAGTGTGTAGTGAGTGCAGAATGTGTATAATGAATGCAGAATGTGTATAGTGAATGTAGTATGTTTGTAGTGAGTGTATAGTTAATGTAGTGTGTTTGTAGTGAGTGAAGAGTGTGTATAATGAATGCAGTGTGTGCGTGTGCTGGATGATGTGTGTGTGCGCGCTGGATGACATGTGTGTGAGTGCTGGATGATGTGTGTGTGCGCGCGTGCTGGATGATGTGTGTGTGCGCGTGTGCTGGATGATGTGTGTGTGACTGCGTGTGCTGGATGATGTGTGTGACTGCGTGTGCTGGATGATGTGTGTGACTGCGTGTGCTGGATGATGTGTGTGTGAGTGCTGGTTGATGTGTGTGTGAGTGCTGGATGATGTGTGTGTGTGTGAGTGCTGGATGATGTGTGTGTGAGTGAGTGAGTGCTGGATGATGTGTGTGTGTGAATGCTGGATGATGTGTGTGTGAGTGCTGGATGATGTGTGTGCTAGATGATGGGTGTGTGTGTGCATGGGTGTGTGTGCTGGATGATGGGTGTGTGAGTGCTGGATGATGGGTGTGTGTGTGCTGGATGATGGGTGTGTGTGTGTGCTGGATGATGGGTGTGTGAGTGCTGGATGATGTGTGTGTGAGTGCTGGATGATGTGTGTGTGAGTGCTGGATGATGGGTGTGTGTGTGTGCTGGATGATGTGTGTGTGAGTGCTGGATGATGGTGTGTGTGTGCTGGATGATGGGTGTGTGTGTGCTGGATGATGGGTGTGTGTGTGCTGGATGATGGGTGTGTGTGTGCTGGATGATGGGTGTGTGAGTGCTGGATGATGGGTGTGTGTGTGCTGGATGATGGGTGTGTGAGTGCTGGATGATGGGTGTGTGAGTGTGGGATGATGTGTGTGTGAGTGCTGGATGATGTGTGTGTGTGCTGGATGATGTGTGTGAGTGCTGATGTGTGTGTGTGTGCTGTGAGTGTGATGATGTGTGTGTGAGTGCTGGATGATGGGTGTGTGTGTGCTGGATGATGGGTGTGTGTGTGCTGGATGATGGGTGTGTGTGTGCTGGATGATGGGTGTGTGAGTGCTGGATGATGGGTGTGTGTGTGCTGGATGATGGGTGTGTGTGTGCTGGATGATGGGTGGTGTGTGAGTGCTGGATGATGGGTGTGTGTGTGAGTGCTGGATGATGGGTGTTGGGGAGGGGGGAAGCATTTTTTTCTTACTTTGTGTTTAATATTTATTTTATTCCCCCCTCCCTGCTTCTTACCTTGTCAGGGAGGGGGGAGATCGCCTGGTGGTATGCTGGAGGGAACCAGCCGCTGCAGAGAGGGGCCATCACACGCTGTGTTCCCTCTCCAGCTCTAACTCTCGCGAGACTCGCCTGTGCGGAGCGTTGCCATGGTAACAGCCGCGGGTCTCGCGAGAGTTATAGCTGGAGAGGGAACACAGCATGTGATGGCCCCTCTGTGCAGGTAGCAGGGCCGGTCCTGCAGGACAGGTAACGGGAACGGCGTTCCTGCTTTGGAAAAAGTGCAGGAACGCCGTTCCCATGCGTTCCTGCAGGACTCGAGCCCTGATGAACAATGTATGTTCAGTGTTCTGCAGTAGTCTGAGATTCTGCTAAGGGGGAGGCCTAGCCCAGATGATGATAAATGACAAGATGGAAAGCATTGGGTACATAGGAGTTCGTACTGACATGCCGCTCCTGAAAAAAATCCCCCCCTATCGTATTGGATGCGTACACTATGGACACCTACCAGTACCTTGATGACGTAAGAATTGTTTTGGTATGTCACATATACTGTAGGATCCAATGGTCAAGTCTGTCAAAGCTTGGCGTGTGGAGTCCCAATAGTTATAATTAACATTTAAATATGCAGGGGTATGATGTTACGTGAAGGCTAAGTGCAGCATGGCCACCAGGTGGCGTAGTGCTGTGCACCTTCCTGAACTATATATATATCTACATATGATTATACCTGTATACCCTATATGAAACCAGCTACATATTATTATAATTATTTATAACCAGCCACATATTTATTATACTTATTTATAAACCAGTCACATATTTATTATTCTTATTTTATAACCAGCCACATATTTATAAATCTTTTTATGAACCAGCCACATATTTTTTAATTCAACTTTGAATGCCTGTGTGTGATGTGTGTTCGACTGGCGTTTGAGTGTACAGCCTGCTTTGCGGTTGCAGTGCTGTACTTGAGCGTGCTTGCTGGCTGACAGCAGACCTACGTCTGTGGAGGGAGCTGCCGACCCTGTGAGAGAGTATATCTTGGACAGGTGAGCAACCCCTTTCGTGCCCTGGTTGGTGGGGGGGGGGAAAAGCGAGGGGGTTAAGAGACAGTTTGAGCCCTGCCTCCATATCCCCAATTGATGGTGGGGGAGGGGGGTAGAGATAGCCATATACCTGTGACTTATAAAACAGATAGCCCCCTATACATGTGACTTATAAGCTATATTCGTGTGACTTATCAGACAGCAATATTCGTGTGAATTATAAGACAGCAATAGCTATTTGTGGGGAGCATGATCACCGGCAAGGCCAGTGTGCGAACCTCCGTGCCCCCATGAGAAAGGGGGGAGGGTGGCCGGGCGGTTTGGAAGGACCTCTGCATCCCTATCGTTAAGGAAGGGGGGTTTGGGAGCCGGCATGAAGGTCCTCTGGGAGCGAAAAACAAACAAACAAAAAAACATCGCAAAGGCCCTCTGTGTCCCCACCACTAGGGCAGGGTTTTTGGAGCCAGTGAAATGGGCCTCTGAGCCCCCCCCCGCAAGTAAGGGGGGGCAGTCGGCGAATCTGAGTCTCCCTGCTGGAGGGGGGTGGGGTAGGGAGCAGGCCTGCATGGGAACACCGTGTACGTTAGCTGGGGGTTAGGAGCCAGTGAGGCCGAATATGCAAACCCACTGATTCCCCTGTGATCGTGAGCGGGGAGAGGTGGAGTGATGCATAGTAAACACGGAGACCTCGGCGGGTTACAAGCAAACACGCTTCCTATGTGAGACACAGACGGTATACCAGTCTGTACTCACTGTCTAGCGCAGGACACTCTGTTTGTCCGGCAGTTGCTGGCCCATGGCCTGCGTACGGACCGGAACAACTCTGTTTAAACAAAGCAATGCTGCACCACACGCTGGCCGTATGATCCCCGCAGCTCTGTCTGAGCCCGGACACCAAAACACGTCTGGACCAGTAGGTAAGTTAGGTAGGAGGGGGAGTCCCTTTTAAAGGGACATAGCCCCTCCCACAACTTCAGGCCCCGCCTTCCAATATATGATATATTTCAAGGGTTACTTTAAATATAACACATAGATAGTTCTGTTTCACTTCACTCTTTCAATTTTATTACACCTCCTCCTCTAAGCTGTAAGCAATGATGGCTATCATGCCAAAATGTTATTACAATTTGGGCATGCAGCACCTTCCCTCTTTATTACAGTAATTTAGAACCATTATAGGAATAGGGTGTGTTTGAGACGTAAATGAAAAGAGAAGGACCAGAGAGGCAGGAAGCACTGAGGGAACTGAAATTACATATATATGGATCTGTTGGTGATCAGAAAAGAGGATGCAGAAACTAGCACAGAATGAGCTGAAAGTGATGAGAAGAGATTTTTAGATACTATGGATGTAAGAGGAGTTTGCGTGGGGGTGACGGGGGCTTTCATGGGAAAACTTGTATAAACACGAGAAGAAAAATTTAACAGAATAATCATGATACTGTGGCAGTACTTACCTTATCCGGGGGCCGGCCGGCGTTCTCAGCTCGAGCCGCATGCACTCCTGCTTCCACACGAGCCGCTTGCGGCTCAATCTTCCCTTCTGAGCAGGCTGCGTGCACTGACCGGTCACGTGACCCACCTGGCACTAGGAGCACGCCTCGCATCACGCGCGTGCTCTTAAAGGGGCAGTGGGAGCCAAAAGTAGATTCAGGCTCCCATTGGCCCACGTTATTCCGACGCCCCCACACACGCACACTTTGGGGCGTGGGTATGACGTGGGCCAATCAAATGTTAGTTAAGGATATTTAAACTTTCCTAGCCCTATCGTGGTTTCTGTTCCAGTACCCTTTAGTGCGTTCTTTGATCTATTGTTTATTCTGATATTGACCTTGGCTTTGAATATGATTCTGAATTTTATCTTTAACCCTTTCCTGTCTTGTTTGCCCGTCTGACTGGCTAGATCTTGGTTTCGCTGTCTCTTCGTTACCTTGACCTTGGCTCGTCTCTGATTACGCTTTTTCTTTGTCTAACGTTTAGTTCTGCCATTTTAAGGCCCGGTAATACGTTATTTCCTAGTCTTGTCCCTTGCCATCCTAAATTTTGCGTGTTGAGGTATTACACCGTGACAGATACAGATTAAGGAACAGCGCGCACATAAAAATACAACTTAAAATTTTATAAGGCTACTTGAAATCACCTCTCTCAGCAAACAAATATGGGGATTCAGTTCCACCATATGGCCATTTTGTGTTAAGCCCACCACTATGTCACAGTACCCCAGTATAAATAGTGTTAGTGCTAAAAGAGCTAAAGTGTATCTATTGTAAAAGCATGTGAATATATAAAGTGCACAATTAATGTGATAAGCACAATTAAAAAAAACAAAATGCTAAATCTAAACAATTAAAGTGACAGTGCTTTTATGCATATACTTACAATGCATATCGGGGAAGGGGGGAGGGGGGTTGTAGGGTGCTCAACTCAAAAGGACATTATGGAGGACATATGGTGGAGCTAAATCCCCATATTTGTTTGCCAAGATAGGCGATTTTAAGTAGCCTTATAAAATGTTATTTTTGTGTGTGCTCTGTTGTAAAATGTATGATTCAAGTGTGCCCCTAATTCCCTCTTTGCCATAACAGAATATTTATAATATTCACGGGCAGAACATTATACCATCAGAAGACTCTTTATAATACACAATCCTTTAAGAAACATGGATCTCAGCTGCTCATGTCCTTTCTTTTATTTTTGAATACTTTGTTCAAAAAAAATGTATGAACAAAGAAAAATAAAATGCAGCAGACAATACATGCTGCATAAAACCTTGAATTCCATTCAGCCTTCTATCTAGCACAACAAATAGAAAGTCCTGATTTCCACAATAAAAGGTGAGCTGTTGCTACCCAAATAGAATGGTACTTGAAAAGCTGAATCATCCATTCTGTACAGGTATTTTGTCAGATCTAAATCTTCTCGCAGCAAACTATGTTGTGTGTGTGTATAATATTTTTTTTATGAATATGTATATATGTGTATATATATCTTTTTTTTAATTTATTTTTTTAATCAAGCGTTCAAGAAATAACACATTGAATAAGCATCGTATTAAACTGTATACTTAGCTGTAAAAATGGTGGCAAACTATTATTATATTGAAGTATACATGATTGTATGGTCAAATTGGAAGCCACCAAAACATTATTTTCATATTATATTTAATAATGTAATTATATTATATGTAAGATAGTTCTTTCATCGCTAATAATCAAGAACAGGAAACCATTCTTCACACTGGAGCAAAAAAGTACTTCAATTCATTCACACAATTTAGCCATTAATGTTTAATGACAACCGGAAAAACTTTATACACCAAGTTCCAAGTCTTCAATTTCCTTCACAAGCAAATGTTCCTTCTGGATTTTCTCCATCTACGAAAAGGACATATAATTATTGTTAATTTAAACATGGCAGACTTGTCTGTAAAATTCAAAGCAATGCAAAACCGTTGCCAAGTATTTTAAAGCCAGTATTGAATCAAAGAGAGGGATAGCCATAACAACACTTTTGAAATGACGTCCATTTAAAGGGAAACTCCAGTGCCAGGAAAACAATCCGTTTTCCTGGCACTGCAGGCCCCTTCTCCCTCCCACCCCATCCCCGGTTGCTGAAGGGGTGAAAACCCCTTCAGGTCACTTACCTGAGACCCCGCCGATGTCCCTCGGCGGTGGTTTCTTCTCCCGCTGCTCCTCACAGTCTTTACGTGGGCTGGTGGGCGAGACTGACCCCGCCCACCGGCCGGGGAGACGTAATGCGCATGCGCTGCAATGCCGCGCATGCGCATTAGCGCTCCCCATAGGAAAGCATTGAAAATGCTTTTCAATGCTTTCCAATGCGGAATTGAGCGACGCTGGAGGTCCACACACAGCGTTTTCTGTGCTACAGAGCAGGAAGTGCCCTCTAGACAGCCACTAGAGGTGGAGTTAACCCTGCAAGGTAATTATTGCAGTTTATGAAAAACTGCAATAATTACACTTGCAGGGTTAAGGGTAGTGGGAGTTGGCACCCAGACCACTCCAATGGGCAGAAGTGGTCTGGGTGCCTGGAGTGTCCCTTTAACCCCTTAAGGACCGAGGACGGTTCAGGACCGTCATCTGCATTTTTGCGTTGCCGACCGATGACGGTCCTGAACCGTCCTAACGGTCAGAGCTACTTACCTGATCGCCGTCGTTCCCCCGGCGGCGATCAGCGTGGCTCCGGTTGTGGGGAGACTGCTTGCAGCCCAGACAGTCTCCCCACGGCAGATTAGGACCCCTGTGGCCATGTGATCGCTTAACACAGCGATCACATGGTCACAATAGGTGTCCATGTGTCTGCCTGCAGGGGACTGTCTGTGCTGACAGGCAGTCTCCCTGCTAGTGTAAAATCAGAAAATAAAATAAAGTTAGTGTTAATAAAAAAAATAAAAAAAATTATATATGTGTATATATGATATATAGACATATATTATACCTATATAATATATGTCTATATATCATATATATAATGCCATACTAAGTGTATTTTTATATTAATATGTACTTATATTAATATAAAAATACACTTATAATTAAATTACACACGTATATATATAATATATAATAACTATATATATTGTATATATATATTATTATAAAATATAAATAATAAGTAATTTAAATTAAATAATTTTTTAAAATAATAATAAAAATTTAAAAAAAATTATATATCTATATGAAATTTTATTCTAACTGTATTTTAAAATTAATATATATATATATATATATATATTTATATCAAAATACACTTAGAATGAATTTGTATATATATATATATCTATGTATATAAAAATAAATAAAAATAATAAGAAATATACATACGTCCATATACAAAATTACATAAATAATTATATAAATATACACGTAGACTTCAAATCTATAAATATGCATATATATTTAAATTCTACGTGCGTATTTATGTAATATTTTTACATAATTCAGTAATTTTATTGATTGCAATTTGAGGGACCTGCCTGCCAACCCAGGCCGAAATTCCAGAGAATTTAATTTGCTAGCACTGTATTTTACCCTGTAACGTTCTACGACACCCTAAAACCTGTACATGGAGGGTACTGTTTTACTCGGGAGACTTCGCTGAACACAAATTTTAGTGATTCAAAACAGTAAAACATATCACAGCGATGATATTGTCAGTGAAAGTTACTTTTTTTTGCATTTTTCACACACAAACAGCACTTTTACTGATGATATAATTGTTGTGATACGTTTTCCAGTTTTTAAACACTAATATTTGTGTTCAGCGATGTCTCCCGAGTAAAACAGTAACCCCCATGTACAGGTTTTATAGCATTTTTGAAAGTTACAAGGTCAAATATATGGGTCAAATATTTTACATTGAAAATGGCCAGGTTGGTTACGTTGCCTTTGAGAGCGTATGGTAGCCCAGTAATGAGAATTACCCCCATGATGGCATACCATTTGCAAAAGAAGACAACCCAAGGTATTGCAAATGGGGTATGTCCAGTCTTTTTTAGTAACCACTTGGTCACAAACAGTGGCCAAAATTAGCGTTCAATTTAGTTTTTTTACTTTTTTCACACACAAACAAATATGAATGCTTACTTTGGCCAGTGTTTTCGACTAAGTGGCTACTAAAAAAGACTGGACATACCCCATATTGAATACCCTGGGTTGTCTACTTTTAAAAAAATATGTACATGTGGGGTGTTATTCAGAGATTTATGACAGATAATAGTGTTACAATGTCACTATTGATAAATTTTAAAATGTATGTTTTGAAACCGCAATATCCTACTTGTACCTATAGCCCTATAACATGCAAAAAAAAGCAAAAAAGCACGTAAACACTAGGTATTTTAAACTCAGGACAAAATTTTGAATCTATTTAGCAGTTTTTTTCATTCGCTTTTGTAGATGAGTAAAAGATTTTTCAAGTAAAAGTCAAAAAACATGTATTTTTTTCAATTTTTCATCAGATTTTTTTATTTTTTTTAAATTAAAATACATGAGATTATATAAATAATGGTATGTAAAGAAAGCCCCTTTTGTCCTGAAAAAAACAATATATAATTTGTATGGGAACAGTAAATGAGAAAGCGGAAAATTACAGCCAAACACAAACACCACAAAAGTGTAAAAATATGCCTGGTCGCAAATGTACAACATCGCAAAAACAGTCCAGTCCTTAAGGGGTTAAGGACAATGATACTAAGGTCAGCGTTGACTGCTCACACCAACAGCAGTAAAAATGTCCTTTGGAAATAAAAGTACATATTAGAAACTGTACTCATATCTCATACTCTGTATCAAATGCTACAAAAAAAGAGAGTCCTCATGAAGTGAACTTTATAGAAACAGTCCAATGGAAAAAATATAAATATATTTTAAAACAATTTAGCAGATATGAAAACATGCATTTAATTACGCATTTTATTTTTCCATTGGGGGTATATCTAAAACATCTTGCAAAAAACTGCTGACCTCTAGCGTGAAACCTTTGTAAACCCTCCCCTTCTTTCCTAGGCCAAACTTTCTGTGTTTGTCCAATCACAGACCTTCCAATGTAAGACATCTGCTCTGGACAATTGCCTGCCTTTTGAGTCTAGCTCTGCTGAGCTTGACAACCAGGAAGTAACAGGACCAATTGTCTGGTTAATAGCCAGGGATTATAACAAGGTTAATTTATAAATGTGCCAAATTATGTTGAAATAAGCACTTTTTGTAAAATGAAAGAGGACATTGCTTTAGGTGTGTGAAGTGTCCATTTAATCCCAGAACAAGTTTTTGTATCTGAAAGGTAAATTGGTCAGTGGCATGCGACTAAAAGTACTTGCTTTCACTGCGTATTTATCTTTGCACAGTGACAGCAACATAGTAAAAAGAAAGGTGTCACAAACAAGTCTATAATTTCTTTCATGACTACATTTTATGATTTGTCAGCATGCATCTTTGCAAAAGATTAGTGAAAGATCTTATTCTTTGATGGTTTGTTTATCCTCTGTCGCATTGGTGGTGAACATCACAATTTGCGCAGTAAATCATCTCTGCTCCTTTGCACTAAGCTAATGTTGTCCAACATGTTATGGCACATACCATTCATAATTATTTAATGTTGTAATACAAAATAATTTTCGGGGGTGTTTGTGTACATTGTAGGTTGTGAAAGACATCGTGGGCAACATTTTATCTAGTAAAGAAGAAGGGTTTAGTGCCTCTAATGTAGACAGAATGTGTGTATGGTATTACCTGGTTTTTCTCCAACTGTTTACCGGATGCCTGCAGTTCTTTCAATTGTTCAATTGCTTTTAGTTTCTGATAAAATAAACATAAAGTATAATGGTATCATATTTTTAAAATAACTTAGACTTAATTATTACCTTTCTAAGACAATTAAGTAATAACCTCTGGCCAGAGGAGATCTACCCAAATTGAGGCATAGGTGACTGCCTAGGCTGGGACTAAGTCCTACGCTGCTCCAATTGCCACCCAAGCACCTTGAGAGAGCACTGTGGTCTGCATCTCTATTGGGTGCAGATCACTTTAAGAGCTCCCTCATAACTCCTGGTGCTTCTCAATGACCATGGCAGCCAGCGATCCCAGTCACTGACTGTGTGTTGGACCGTGAAAGAGCTGTTAGAAGTGATTTGCACCTGATAGAGTGATGGACAGTGGATTATGGGATAAGATCGGAATGAGATGCTCCTGATCGAAGTTTTTCCTATTTTTACAGATGTACTATTTTGCATGCTAATAAACATGATGTATGGAGTATAAAATGATATGTGATAAACCCTGAACAGCCTCTTACAGAATCTAGATTTGTAAGTAACAATTCAAAGAAAGGACAATTCCAGTGCTTCAGATAATTTCAGAAACCCACAAATGGATATAAAAAAGCAGCTAACCTTTTTCAAATTCTTGATCTTTTTATCTGTTTCCGGGTCACCAGTAGTTATTGCGGTTGGGACATTATTCTGCGTCGTCTCCGATACTGGCTCAGCAGGTTCTTCTGCTTTGGCCTCCTACACAACAAGTCCAGTTAAATACCTACAATGTCTTGCAATGTATACACAACACCACCTCACAGGGGCTGGCAAAACATATACAAACCTGCTTTGCTGCCTTCTTTGCCTCTCTTTTCTTTTGGTTCTTCAAAGCAGTTTTGGACAAAGCTTTATCTGCCGACAGTGGCTTCATGTTCTGGGGAGGCTCATCTTCATGCTTAATTGTAGAAAAATATAAACCAATGGAATAAATAAACATAACAGGTTTGTTAAAACTATCATCTTTATTACACAATTCATCAGTCACACTGAACACTATTTTGCTCTAAAACATTAGTACATGAACAGACATGAACTTAATTGCTTGTCAGATAATTTATGTGCTTGGTTGCAAAAAAATTGGTTCTTGCAAGATGTGCAGTGCTAGACTGTACTACTGACCTGCATTCCACTGGAATCTATGTTATACAAGTCTACGCTGTTTAACTGTAATTGTGGTACACAGGTATCAGAAGAATAAGAAGACACCTGAATTAGTTCGCATTATTGCTCAAATGGTATTTATGTTAACCCTTTGGACGTACTGAATGGAATTCTGTAAAATGAATAGTAAGAGAGATAGACAATAAATGAAGTGGAATAAATATCTTGAAAATTTTATGAAGAACCTTCGCTTTCTCGGCAATGTTTTTTATATTAACACCAGAACAAAAATATTTGTATTCACTTCGTGGTTTAATTATTAAATAATGAGACAGAAACCAATAGTGGAGCTGGCAAAAAAAAATCTGCAAAACAGCTGTTTGTTTGCACGAAGCCCTCCCAACTTAACAGAACTGCTAGCAGGTCAGTAATTTAAAATATAAATCATTGACTTGAGAGAAACCCTTCCACTCACTTGTGCAAGCAGTTTTCAGTGAATTTTTTTTTTTTATAAATTCTTTATTTTTGAGTGCATAAAGAAAAATAACAGATGCAAATGCGTGTGCCATGCCCCAACAGCATGTACCCGCGATTGTGATTTTTTTTTTTCATTATTATTATTATTATTATTGGTATTTATATAGCGCCAACTCATTCTGTAGCGCTTTACATTATTAAAACCACTAGCACATCTGAGGTGCAAAAGTGTAGCTTCTATATGCCCCTCGACAGAAAATATGGGAGAGCTGTATTTTCCTGGTCTTTTCCTATAGAATAGGTTGGCAGTTGTTTTTTCTATTATTTTCTACCAGACACAGTCTTGAACTTTAAGTGCTCTCAGTGTCCCTTTAATCCAAATTCTTCCTTTTGTTAGTCACCCTCAACAATGAACTTTGAACACAGGAGACATAACAAGCTGCATAGTATATACTGCATAATACAGTTATCCAACCTACATACTGAATGAGAGAGCATTAGAACTAAGCAAGTAATTCTCTAATGAATGGTGTTTTTTTTAATAAAATAAAATTAAAATTTTTCAAACATTTCCAGCATTATTACGCTGCACATAAAAGCAAAGCTAATACTTCATTCTAATCTAGGCAGAATGCGCCTCTTGCACCAAGGCTGCCAACGAAAAAGCAAGCTTTATTTGTTAAATTGTATACAAATGCAAGAGTATTTTTTTTTACATGTTATATATTGCAGGTGTATAAATACATATATATAATATATTTATATATGCCTATATAACATATTGGTATCCTATTAGAACACTTTCACAGCATCTCTAGCTTAGGTGACCTAATCTTTTTACAGCAAGCTTCAAAGAGGAACCATCACTTCTCTGAAAGTTATACCATTTAACACTGGCATTTACACATATTAATTTGTTTTCACATGTGGTGCTCTGTTTTCGTTTAAATGTATGTGGACGACTTCGCAAATTGCAGCAGTTTCACATAAATAGGGGATGAGGATGGCAGTGGCTGGTGTAATGTTGCCAGAGTGCAAACTTGCTACAGCTGCAAGAGTTTCCTTCAGAATGCTTTCAACATGTTTCGCAATAAAACAAAGCTATGTGGAACTTGGAACAGCTGTAAAACATTCATCTTGTCCTCTTTAAAAATAAATGATTAACAAGAATGGAAATGTGGCTCTTCAAATCTACGGTGTGTATTGTGTGAGGTTAATAAAAGCACATGCAGCTAAATCTTTTTAACATGGGAATCAAAAAACAGTTGCGCATAAAGAAGTGTATATATTCGGTGTCCAACAGAGGTCACTCTAAATTCAGATTTCCATTACAATTACGGAACCCTGCAAAAACAAACTCTTAAGTGGCGTAGGATCTAGAAATAAATCACTATATCTGGACCAGGGGTGCCAAAATGTAGATCCCCAGATGTTGTAGAACTACAACTCCCATGATGCTTTGTCATTCTAAGTTCATTTTAGTTCTAGAATTGGCTATGTATCCGCTTGCATCATTTCCTCTGTGAACAAATTGCGTGGGGCTCAACATATGGTGGAAGCAAAATGCGCAAAAATGTGGCTGATTGATTTTCTGCATTTGGCTAACCTTATTTGTGTCTGAATCAGTTGCATTGCGCTTGTTAACTGAATAGCATAATGGTGCCTAAATCTATAGTAATAACTCTAGACTGGGAAAGGAAATGCTCTAATTATAAGGACATATAATATATTCCCTGACAAGACTATGTTAAAACATGAAATGCATGTTGGGTGAGTCATTGGGATCAGGTAATTGCTATAGCAAACCAAATACAAGAAAGTCTAACCCAGTTGCATCTCTTTATTTTCATAATTACCAGAGAGAGAGAGAGAGCATTTAATTTCTAAACCTACAACTAGCACAACAGAACTAGATAGTTTTAATAAACAATATTCACTTAGGGGTGAAATGTCACCAAAAATAAATAAGACAGTTCCATGTACGAAAATCCTTCAAAAGGTGTGTAGTGACTGAACTTCCTCAAGGTGAACGCTGGATTAAGGTAAGTAAAAACGTACATTTAAAATGGTCTTTGAGTGTTTATTTTTTGGGGGGAGGAAGGGCAGTAATCTATTTTACACTAGAATGGGTTGTAGAAATCTTTTATTTAGAGAGGGTTTTTTTTGCCTTTCCTGATACTAAAGCTTACTTTAGGATAGAGTGACACCTCCTGGACACATTGCATTTATTAACTCCTATAGAACTAGAGTCCTTGACAGACTAGTTTTTTACAATAATGACTGACGTACCCCTACTCACAGCATAGCGAGCAGGGGCATTTGGGAGATTTCAATCTCCCTTATGCTAATATGGGGGTCATATTGACCCCCATAGAGTTCGGGAGAACATTTTACAAGGAGGGAGCTGCGCGCTGGTAGCTCCCTCCTTGTAATAAACTGAATGAACCAACACCGATATTCGGTGTTTGTTTGTTAGTCTGAAACTTATAACGAATTAATGAATAGACGAAATTCCCGTAGCGAATGCCCAAGTGATTAAATGGACACTTCACACACCTAAACCAATGTCCTCTTTCATTTTACAAAAAGTGCTTATTTCAACATAATTTGGCACATTTATGAATTAACCTTGTTGTAACCCCTGGCTATTAACCAGACAATTGGTCCTGTTACTTCCTGGTTGTCAAGCTCAGCAGAGCTAGACTCAAAAGGCAGGCAATTGCCCATCGCAGAAGTCTTACATTGGAAGGTCTGTGATTGGACAGACACAGAAAGTCTGGCCTAGGAAAGAAGGGGAGGGTTTACAAAGGTTTCACGCTAGAGGTCGACAGTTTTTTGCAAGCTGTTTTAGATATACCCCCAATGGAAAAAAAAATGCGTAATTAAAGGGAATTTCACAGCGCTATCTAGTGTGGGCAGATGATGTGTTCCACAGGGACTTCATCTACTCACACAAAGATGACAGCGACCAGGACCTAGGTCTGGGCACAAAATAAAGATGAAAAAGGTAATATGGGGGGCTTAAGGGCATTTGGGGGTGACAACTAGATGTAGTGGAGTCAGGAGGGGGGTTAAAAAAAACAAACCTGGATTCGGCCATGACAGTGCCGCTTTAATCCTGTGATCGTTCATTGACTCCGTTTTGTACACTTGCATATGTGTGAGCGTACCAACGTTATGGCAGCTCCTGACAAGTCAAGCTGCTGGGAGCTGCTAAGCAGGGAGGCCAGTAGGTGGTAGTACCAAGGAGTGAGAACTTAACATAAGTATATCTCCTAAATAAACCCTTAGCTGCTGCCATAAAAGTGGGCATATCACATTGGGAGGTCATTGCAAAGAATGAAAAGATCCCACAAGTGACTGTGCCACTTTAAATTCAGCATTATAAATTCCGATAAAGAGGAAGTGGTCTCTGGGTGAGGAGAAAACCCATATTTGTTAAACTGGTTTGACATAAAATGGAAGACATTGCACAAAGGCTCTGGAAGCATTACCGTTACACTGATTTGTAGTGGTTATGTAATTTAGAGTGCATGTCTAGTAGTTTTACTCCTGTTCCAAGCTCCATACATCTTTTCATTTTTAAACAAATGCTGGAGGCTATTTCCCTTTGAGACAAGAGGTTTATTATATCATGACAGGTTTGGATCCAGATATATTATAATGGAGTTATTCAATTTTTAATTGTTTTCAAGTCTGGCTTAAACTATTTGCTAATATTTAAAATTGTAATTCTTCATAAATTTACTACTGCAGTACTGCTGCTTGGCTTACTATTGTGAACAACGGCTTTATTTTTTGAACAACGGCTAAGCTTTCTAAGATACTATGTTACCATATCCCTATATCATTCCTGTTGTACCATGTAAAGTTCAAGAATTATAAAAGAGAATATCTAAGTTTGACGTATTAGCTGGTGTTCAGAGAGAAAGCAAAATAAATGTGGCTCTGACAATCCTTAGTAATTCATAGAGATATAATCTTTATGAAATATTAATGCTGACTGGATTCCAACACAATCCAAGATTCCATAAGACAAAATAGGGACTAATTTGTCTTATGGACAAGCCTGAGGTTGACAAAGGCATGGCTCAGCCATTAACTTCTGACCAATCCCAGCAGCCATCACAAGTGAGGGCTGTGGGATTTAGGTTTCATGTTGCTCATGAGAAGCCATGACCTATGGAGGCTCCTATGGGATCCTCCATAGACCTCAAAGTTGCACTCTTGTATGAGAGTCCCGCACTAATGCAGCCCTGGCAGATTAAATACCAGGAGCTGGATGGTGGCAACCACGAGGGACAGCTTCAGCTAAGAGAAACCTAACTTTGACTGCACCTCACAGCCACCAGACAATAATGCAAGATATTATCTTCACTGGGGTCATTCCAAAATATGCAAAGACTCCTGAAAGTGGCAGACCCACTTTAAGTAAGACCAGGTTAAGATTACAGGAGAACAGTGATGAGGAACAGAAAGATGTGGTGTAGATGTCCTCTTTTCCAATGTATGATGGAACCAGTAGTATGGAACCCAAATGGTTACAAACTTAACTTTTCTAGTCACACACAAAGTTACTCACCAGCTTGTAACTAGTCTGTGGTTTATTTCTGAGGGCTGGAGGTCTGTATGCCTGTGCCGGCTTAGTCTCTTCTGCTTGGATGTCACTAGGCACGGCCTGGAAAATAATTGATTTTGCTGGAAAGACCCCAGGAACAAAAGGTTGCCAGGTAACTTGCCAAAGTTCTGTGTTTTCTGGCACATCATATTTATGTAGAAGAGTACCAGTATAGTGCCATATCTTGTACCCGTTTCCTACACGCAGTCTTGGGGAGCATGTGGCAGTGACCATATGTTCTCCATTAGGGCACCAAGAAAAAAAAGTGGCATCAGAGGCTGTTGGCTTAGAAATTAGTTTATAATTTTTTACATCCCATACTTCCATTTGTCCTCTCAAATTGCCAAACCCAGCCAGTACCAAAATGTGTCCCTGAGGGCTGTAGAATGCAGCATTTCTAGGACCAGTGCCAAAATCAAATATGGGGTCGCATTTAAGATTAAAAACTGTAGCTTTGGCTGGCATGAACCCATAAACAACGCAAAATTCTGTTGCATTTTGGTTCCATACAACATCGTAGATAGGACCATTTTTTGCTGAAAGAAATTGAAAATGATTGGCAATAAATCAATATTTGCACCTTAGGTGTCATTGAGAAATAAGTGAAGTTATAGTATCTCATCCATGCATATCAAGATGTACATTTATGTCAGTCTGTGTACTTACAATTTTAACGGTTTTTATAAATTTAAACAGAAACAACACACTGAAGTCCTAATTTTAGAGAATGAAATCCAAATTGCAAAAATTTAAATATAGCTGCAACAAAAATTCTTCACTGTCACAGGTTGGCTATTTTAGCCTAAATTTTACAATTTTGATTTCAATTTTGAATTTAGTGAGTAACTCTGATGTAATTACTTGGTGAAGCCCCATAAGCTATATGACAGGATTGATGACCTTTTAATTTCAGATATAAAGTACCCTGATTTACATCAATATGTATTCCTGATAATAAAAAAAAAAAAAAACCCTGAATCCATGGTTTGAAATGCATTTCTGTATGGTTTGGTTTTTTTAATAAGTTTGTATTTGCAAAAAAAAAAAAAAGGGAATAAGGCATAATAAAAAAAGATGGCAATGCAAGCAGACTGCTGGAACAGGTGTACAGCCGGAATTCTGTACTTAGCACTACAAACAGTTAGGTAAACTTTTATCAGGAACTATTTTCCACTGAAAAATGCATGCTGTTTACATAAAGATTATAAAAGATCTCCCAGTTCTAATCTGCTCTCTCAATACTCTCTGCGTTCCAAGTCATGGTGAATGCCAAAATTAATGTTTGTTTGAAATCATGTGCCACATCTCATAAATAAAACACCCCTTTCCAAACCAAACACTGCCTGTGTTACTGTTTTCATCAATCCATTATCTCACCCCCTTTACATGGACGTGTTACCCCCAAATCTATTCCTAAAGGTACATGGCTACTTACGAAGCTGTACGACTGCACTTTCTCCATTTACTGCTATATAATGAAGAGTCTGCTCTCCATAGTAGGAAGCTCCTGTTTTGTCCACATCAGTGCTGGATGTCACAAGTACTGCAGTACCTATACAACAAGGGCAAAAGGAAGACTTGTTAACAAGAGGACACACAGTAAATAAATGTATCCAAGGCCCTTGTAGCAAAAGGTGGGAGATCTCTCTAACCCCAAAATCTCCTTCCAGGCAAGGGTTTATCACCACTAGCAGAATTTTTTTTCATGGAAAAATCACAAACCACGCACAAACTGAAGTCAATATTAGCCATGGACAGCTCCTACAAAAGAAACATTTGTCGATGCAGCTTATTGATCACTCATAACGTTTATGTTATTTTCCATGAGTGGATCTGTAGTCACTATAGCACATTTTTGTTAATCATGGAACAGGTCCATTCAAAGAATGTTACAAAGTAGCCTCTGAGAGGAAGTGAAGACTTGCATGCCAGGAAACCACCGAGTGGCATGCCACACAAGTACTTGTACATGCTGGAGAATGCATAACTTGCTACTGTGACATAACTGAAAATAGCTGTTGTAATAAGAAAAAGAGAAATCTCTGTAAATTGCATTACAATGTGTGGAGATGGAACAATAGCTTTAAATAAGCATGAGTTGCAATAACTACTTTAGATTATCATTAGAGAAATTAAGAAATAACTTTCTTATTTGCTTTTTCAGATTCCATGTTGTATAAAAAAAAAAAAAAAAACAACAACAAAAAGCTATATTGCGGTATCCATTCTTCTTGCGAAATTTTAACCACAGTGCACGTAACAAAAAGGATGGAAAAGGGGAAGTGCCAAGTACTATAAATGTTAGGGGATTTGCATCAAACATAATACTACAGCTACACTAAAATGCAAAAAAGGGTGTGTGAAGAAAACTGGGCAACATGACATATGAAATGATACTATACCTTTTGAATTCCACAGCATAGAGACTCTGTCTGCTTTAAAGAAACTTTTATTGGCAAGGGCAGAGTTGGGTCCAGCAAAGTTGGGGTACTGGTATAGCCTTACAAATGAAGGAGCCCCTTTGCTTCCAGGAACATACACCGCCACCTGGAAATATAACACACAATTTTTAATATGGATAATACAATTCTAAAGTTCTTCATGTTTGTAAGTACTTCAACTAAGGTAATCTCACCTTACAGGGATGTTCTCCAGGGGATAACTCAAAGTCACTCACTTTTTGTAAGTGTAGTTTGTTTGCAATAGTATCTGCTCCCCAAAAAAAAATACAAAAATAATAAAAACGATATTATGTATGCTGATATATATACACAAATACGTGAAATATTTATTTTTTGTGGAAGGGAGAGGGGGATGAAAGAAATGCTTACTATATGTCTCCCCATTAATTAAAGGAACACTATAGGGTCAGGAACACAAACATGTATTCCTGACCCTATAGTGTTAAACCCACCAGGTGGCTTGCCCACCGTCTCCCCTCTCCTCAGCCCCCTTAAAAGGAATTTAAACTCTCCTTATGTCCAGCTCAGCGCGGGTCTGCCAGTGCTGGCCCCGCCGCTGATCCACCTCCTTCATGACATCAAAATTGCAGATTTTTCGCCAATCCAATGCTTTCCCATAGGAATGCATTGACTTAATGATGAAAATTTAGCGTCCCCATGCGAAGCGTGGAGACACTGAACGGCGGTGCTGCACTTCTCCAGGAAGTACCTCCAGTGGCCATCTGAGGAGTGGCCACCTGGAGGTGTCACTAGAGGCAATGTAAACACTGCCTTTTCTCTGAAAATGCCTGAAGGCAATGATTATACTCACCAGAACAACTACATTAAGCTGTAGTTGTTGTGGTGACTATAGTGTCCCTTTAAACATAACAGTTTACCTCCCAGGTACAATGTAGCAGCACCAAGAGGACACAAGAAAATAATCCCTAAAAAAACTCTCACAAATCTACAATCTCTAGACAAACTTGCATGTTAAAGATAAATAGAAATCTCATATCTCTAATATGCTACTGAGTCACATGGCAATGTGATGAAAACTGCAATTTTACTGTAAAAAGTGTAATTTATTTTTCATAAGCAAAACAAAAATAAATAAATCATAGCATTGCATAATACTATTTCATTCATGCATTTTTAAAGCTCATGGCAAAACGACTTACTCAGCTTAAAGTGTCACTACACTGCCCAAAAAGAGAATACATCAAATTCACTGTTTAGTAGATATACCTCCTATGAAAACATGCATGCATTTAATCATGCATTTAAAAATGCCTTGCAAATGCTGCAGAACTGTTGTCTGAAACATCTGCAAGCCTTACCCTTCTAACCCCACCCAGGTTTTCGATAGCTGTGCAATTACAGTGCAGCTCAATGAGAAGTCTTTGCAAAGCAGGTGCTCTTAGCAATTGCATACCTCTTAAGTTCAGCTCCACCGAGCTGACCAAACTAGGAAATAACCAGGAAATGCTGTCTGATTGACAGATGGGGGGTGTAACAAAAGCTGCTTTATAAAAGCTCCAATTTCTATTGAAATTTGCACTTTTTGTAAAATGAAGAGGATGCATAAAGAACATCAGAGAAAAGGCAGTGTTTACATTGCCCCTAGGGACACCTCCAAGTGGCCACTCCGCAGATGGCCACTGGAGGGGCTTCCTAGTTCAGTGCTGCACAGTAGGCAGCACTGCCGCTCAGCATCCCCACGCAGTGCTGATTGGCCATAACACAAAGGGGGCGGGGCCAGCGCCAGCAGACCCATGGAGAGATGAAAATAAGGTGAGTTCTAACCCATTCTAAGGGTGGCTTTTGCATTATAGGGTCAGGAATACATGGTTGTGTTCCTGACCCTATAGTGTTCTTTTAATTTAAAGAATCTTGCACAAGTGTAATGAAATCCAAAGGCTGCACTGCGCATTGTCTGGAACAAAGGCATTGGGAAAAATTAAGTAAATACACATAAATGGAATTGCCAACATTGCAGACAGACAAACGTGTCATAATATAATCATACCAAAACTATTGTTCTCAAAAAAGTGCACTTCGTTGTTTACATTTCTGGCACATATTCTTTCGTCATCAGACCAGCAAGGACACCTAGGCAAAGGGGGTAAAGCATAAGTTAGTTTTTACTTATTAACATGACACATTATGCATCTCTTACACCTGAATAAACAAGGGACATGAAGAGGAAAAACTGTAATAGATAGGTGTATGAGGGTAGGTCTAAGAGGCAGTTTATGAAAAGTATGCAAATTTATCTTGTTGACATGTGTAATGTCACCACAGCCAACATGAAGCAACTTACTATACAACTTTAAAAAGCAAAACAACTATGAGAGTATTTTTTAAGAATTCAATGAAAACTACCATCAACATTTGTTTCTATTACAGGAGACAGTTTTTTTAAATTTATTTTTTAAAAGAATGCTGCCTTAGTTGGTCTTTTATGAATAAGATAATAATACTAGTGTGACTAAATGTTAATATTTTTAATTTAAGAGGTGTACTTTAAAGGGACACTATAGTCACCAGAACAGCTTCAGCTTAATGTGGAGGCACTTGCCAAAGTTCTGAACCAAACCAAAAACTATGTGTTTGTTCCACTGTGATTCAAGGGTTTCTCGTTAACGCTATACAAACCCAACAACTAACCCTATGATCATATACCTCCCCTAATTCAAAAGTGTTACTCCAACGTTTTTTAATAATGGTGGTTGGAGTAAACATTTAACCGCACACTATTCTTAAGGGACACCGTAGTCACCGTAGTCACCACAACTACAGCTTATAGTAGTTGTTCTGATGGGTATAGTCAGCCCCTGCAGGCTTTTTGTTGTAAACACAGCCGTTTCAGAAAAAGGCAGTGTTTACATTACTGTTAGATTCCCTCCCCACGGCTGCCTACTCATCACGAGCAGCGGCTTCTGCTGACCGCGCGCCACTCACGGCAGCCTCATATGACTCCTCTCCATGAGTGGTGGCTTCTGGTAACCGCCGCTGATACTTGCCGCCGCTCCCAGCTGTCCCTAGTTCCTTTGGCAACATTTCTGACGCGGCACGCTTGCGTGCAGCATGCTTAAATAGGCGCCTGAGTCAGTCACATGACCTGGCCCGCAAATATGATGTCACAGGTCAAAGTGGAAGGCCCAAATACCTTCCACGTGTCATAATTAATGCTATTCTAAAGTTAACCAATCAGAAGCCTCCTAAGCATATTTAAACCTACATCTTGTTGCCCTGTTGTGGTCTTCTGATAGCCCAATAGTGCGTATAGTTTCTCCGTTTGTCTGATTGTCCAGTTTCGGAATTTTGGCTTGTCTCACCATTTATCCTGCTTTCTCTGACCCTTGACCTTGGCTTGTCTTATCGATTATTCTGTCTCTCTGGTTCCCTCTGACTTTGGCTTGTATTTAGACTTCTCTCGGCGTGCACAGCCCGGCCACTCTAAGGACTGGTACGGCCCTTCCGGTTTCTGTGTTCTGTCGGCGTGTTTGGTTCCGGTGTTTGTGACACATTACAGCCTAGGGATACCTCCACTGGCCACTCCTCAGATGGCTATTAGAGGTGCTTCCTGGAGACACTGAACTTTCCTCATAGAGATGCATTGATTCAATGCATCGCTATGAGGAGATGTGATTGGCCAGAGCTTTTTGACTCTGCCCTTCCTGGAGACACTGAACTTTCCTCATAGAGATGCATTGATTCAATGCATCGCTATGAGGAGATGTGATTGGCCAGAGCTTTTTGACTCTTGGTCTTGGAGGACTGTAGTTGAATTGCCAAGTTATGTTTATTTAGGATCCACCTGTATATTTTGCAAGACTAACACCCTAAGCTCTGCTAGCCCTTGTTAACTCAAACATTTGTATTGACCTATTACTTTTCTTAATAAGATAATTACCAGTTCTGCATTTTTTTCTGAATAAAGGTTTTCACACATTGCCCGGTTTTCAAGTCATATAGTTGCAAGTTAGGCACTCCTGCTGTGCCATCTTTGCCGGCTGCAAAAAAGAGAGAGTAAAATAAGAGAAAAGCATTATGTATGTGTATAAAGCACAGAGATGAGCGTGTACAACGTAATATTATTATCTCTGTCTAGACAAAGTACTGCTGCATGTGCTGGGCTTGACCTAATTTACACCACTAATACATTCTGCATAGAATAAATGACCGTCTAGTTAGAATGCCTCTAGTGGCTGTCACTGAGTAACTACAGGCACTTGCTCATGAATACTTTTAATAATTGAAATTCTTCATGTTCAGATTCTATGCTTCTCAAAGAGAAGCATCTGAATGATTGTGCTGAGTGCATGCACAGTATGGCCCAATACGTCTCCATGAAAAGCACTGGATTGGCCCAAGATCATCCATTAGGATAATCTCAGAAGAGTATGAGCAGAGCAGAGACGAACCTGGATAAAAGGTGACTTTAATGGTTTTATTTTTTATGCGGAACAATAATCTAAAGAAACAGGGAAACACTACAATATGAACAATACTAACTTTACAGTAAGACTCATTAAGATGTGTAATTCTATACTTAAAAGGGATTGTTTTTGCAAAAACAAAATATCCAAAGATATAACTGAAATGTATGTTAACAGGTTGTTGATCCAAGGAGAAATTTGGTTGCAATTATAGCGTGAATACAGATTTTTTTTGTTTTCCCTTTCTGTGGCATAATTGGAAATGGCTACAATTGTTTGTTTGTTGTTTTTCTTATATGCCTTCTTTTGGATTATCAGCATAAAAAAATAGGTTTCAGGGTTGAACTTGATAGACTTTAGTATATTTTCAACCTATATTAGTTTGCAACTATAACATTAGAAATTTATTCATAACGTTGAGTATTTTTTGAGGAATCACACTTATCCTTCTATCAGGATTTTACGAGGGCTACCCTTCAAAAGTCCCTTACTCCTATAACACATCAACTACAAGCTTCTGACGTGGCCTACATATAGGGGGCACCGGGATCCCTCCTAATGTCACGAAACAGGACTACTCACACACTAACATCATTGGTTGAAGCATCAAATGTCCTTACAACATTGGGACTTGTGTAGACAAATACTGGCTCAACAGCACAGGTTCCTGGTGGGGCCGGGAGCCCATCCAATATCATGCCCTTTGTCCTGAGAGCCGGAGCACCGAATCACCCAGACACCTAACTACAGCTGGCTAAGGAGATGGTCTTGCTTGGCCTACAATATGATCAATGCCAACCTACAGCTATTGTTAATACTACTGTTGCTCATATTTCTTGCTTTAAAAAAAAAAAAAAATTTATTTATGTTTTTTATTAAGTGAATGACATCGTTATCAAACTTTTTCATTAATTATGATAAATTAACAACCTTTGGTAAGCAACATATTAGGTGACTATAACAACATAATTGCTGGTGTTATAACAGGAATAGGCGGTCTCTTGGGGTCAACAGGTATGGCAACCTTAGGCAACTTAGGTGCTAGGTAAGTCCCGGACTCTGAGCAGGAGGTGGTTAGGTCTCCGGACGACGGCATCCACGGAACCGACTCGCATCAAGTTAGGCGTCTGATGTGGTATGGGCTAGTCAGTGTTCCTAAAGTTAGCAGGGGTAAATCTTGATAGCCAAACAATATGTCTATCAAAGACTAGGTAAGAGGGAATAGGACAAAAGTGAATAAAAGCTCAAAACTGGAAAAAGTGGGGTTTCACCAAATCCCAAATGTATTAACAAATATGGAAACAGAGTAAACCAGGAGCTTGAAAATGTGAGAAAAAGAATGCAGCTATAAAATATCTGACAGATATTGCAGTATATTATGCAAGAATATCAGCATAAATATAAAACGTCAAATAGGTAATACAATTACCAATCTAAATTATAAATGACTCTAAAATAATTACAATAGTTAAAATAGTTAAAAGTAGATATATATTTCCCAAAGTGCCTTGGCCGGCGTCCCGGCTTCTTGCTGGTGGGTGCACTTTTTTAGGTATGGTTTGTTGCGGTTGTGTAGTTGCGTTGTTCCTAATTTTACGGTCCAGATCTTTATTTTTTGCCTCTGGAGAAGCTCCTTGTGGATTGATGGACAATCCCACTGCCTGCAGGAGAAGCTCTGGATCTTCCGCTGATGTCAGTGTAATGGTCCCTCCTCCACTCTTTACCAAGAGGGACCCCTCTAATCCCCAGCGGTATTTCATGGAGTGTTCTCTTAGTGGACTAGCGACCGGAGCCAGCTTCCTCTTCTCTACCAGGACTGAAAATGGGATAGCCGCATATATAGCAACAGTGTGCCCCTTATAATGTATAGTCCCCATCTCCCTTGAGCGGGTCATAATCACTGATCTCACTGCGATATCTCTTTTCACCGCGATTATATCACTGGGTGCGCCACTTGACGGCGCAGCTAATTTCCTAACTCTGAACGTGGAGGTTATCATAGGCCTTGCAGAGGTGTCTTCAATTCCCATGTCTGTAAGCATGTCTTTGATAATCATAGGCAATGTCTCTGTGCTTACTTGGTCTGGGATGCCCCTGAGTCGTATATTTTTCTTTCTGTGGCACATCTCTAGGGTGGTCACTGTTGAGGTGCTGAACTTGGGCGGCAAGTCCTTTTAGTTTGTCAGCTGTGTCTTATATGTGTTTGGACCTGTCAGCCTCTCCCCTCCAGCTCCCTCACCTTTTTGTGGACTTCACCAATCTATGCCTGGGTCTCCTGGAGGTCTTCTTTCCAGACCCTCCAGAGGTCAACCAGGAGCCTCCTAATGTCTCCTTTCGTTGAGGGTGCTTCATCCTCGCTCAAATCTAAGGTGGGGGTTGTAGTCCCTAAACGGGGAGAGGTGAGAGGATCTTCTTCCTCCAGCAAGGCCTCTGACGGCTCCGGAACGTCTCGTGGTTCCGGCACCATTTTAGACAGCTGCGGTCGCGGTCTCTCAAAGGAGAGCCGAATATCAGGCTGACAGGGAGCCTCTGACTGGCGGTTTTTCTGCCCCATTGTCTCTGCCTGTGGGGGGTGCTGTTTTGGTGCAAAAGTTCCACTCTTTGTGGCTCTAAGTCTCAGGTTTCCCCTAGTTCCGGTTGGAACTCAGGGAAAAGACATCTTCATCTGAGCTCTGTCCTCCATGCCCCATCCTCTTGCTTTGTTTTTAATTATGTTCTTGCCTACTTTGCAAGGTCCTAATTAAATTTTTAATATGTATTGGGCTACCTAATATAGGGGCAACTTGGGATATTACATGAGACGAGTATTTTGTTTCATACTTTCCAACATGTAATACTACTTGGTGGGAAACCATTACCTCTTCTGAGGCCCCCTTGGTCAGGGGTACTAAGTGTTGCAAAGTATTTTGCAATTCACTTGTAACAGTGCTAAACCCACTACTTCCCCCCTCTTCTTTTATTTCTCCGGCATGTTTAGTATGCTACTCTTCTATATTTTGCATCCCACTTCTAGAGTTGAATAAGCCTGTGACAGTAAAATCTGTTGTTAACCATTATGTCAGTGCAAAAGTCAAGCTTGCTTCTCAGCCATGAGTTTTTGTTTTAGCACTGTATTTTCATTCTTTATAAATTATACTATTTTATTTTGACTAACAAAATGTCAGTTTACATGACCAGATTTAATTACTACTCATACTTACTCATCTACTAACTTATTATGCATGAGCATGTTTACTATAGTAAAAAAAAATATAGATGAAGTTTTATCCCATGTCATCATATTGCCTGCTTTGAATTGCCTGTATTTGCTGTTGTGGCATTGCAAACCTGTATGTAATTCTTTTGCAATGCAAAAATAAAGAATTTAAAAAAGAGAGCATTCCTGTAAGTAGGGTTTAACATTGCTGTGCTGTAAAACAGTATAATTCATATGCTGTAGTAAATTCAATCAACAAATTATTCCCAGAATTCCAATGAAACCATTGTCATCATTTAACTAATTTCATGCTGAGAAAATGTGAATTCCACATATTATGTTTGGACATTTTCTTACATACCGTTTTACAAGACACTAACATGCTCCACAGATAATTTGGGAAGTTAGTAGCAAACTGCCCTTTAATGTGAAAACAGTAGATTATGCCCTAATGTTTAATTCTCTGACAAATTTGGAGCATCGTAGACAGCCCTCAGTTATGTGATTCACTCTGAGAATGTATTAGTAGCAAACAAGGCTACCCCCACCAACCTGCAAAACCTGTTCTACAATGTTTAAATATATATGCTATAGATTTTAAGCATCTTGGAATGAAACCAGGTAACAGTCTTTTCTAACATAAATGTTGCACTGCAAGCTGGGAACTGGGCTAGGTTAAACATATTTGTTATTCTATGTTGGAGCCAATCAGGTTTGAACACATTAACAAAATACTTCTTTCAAATACTAATTGGCTGGTACAGATAAAGATTCAAGAGGAGTTTTGTTTACCTATACTATGCCAAAATGTCAACATGAATTTCCTTTTTTTTACTGTGCCATTAACAGAGGTAAGCAGTCAATCACTCAGTACATAGCCATGGTGACTGATGCAACACTCTGTTAATGTGTCACCAGCAAAAATGCCTCGAAGGGAACAGGATTTTTTTTTTAACTTAAAATTCTCATCTTACATGTGTTGGAAGCCCAGGTATTACTTGAATATTTGGTATAAAAATATATATGTACTATCAAGACTGGGCCATTGGTTCTAGTTGTAAATTCCTTCAAATAACCGTGTACCCCCATTCCTTAGGCCCAATTCCACAAACCAACTGAAACAAAGTCACTGCATTTCTACCTCTCTACCTCTGTAGTGGATGCAGATCGTGTATTTGTGCAGTGGCTGTGGCAGTGTGTGTAGTGAATGCATTGTGTGTCTGTATAGTGAATGGGTCGTCAACCTGGTCCCTACCGCCCACTAGTGGGTGTTTCAGGATTCCAGGTGGGCGGTAGGGAATTCCTCATTTTGAAAGATTGGGTGGGCAGGAGCGAGCCGGCGGAACCCCTGCGACCGGGTACTGCCATCACCATTTGCGGCGGCAAACCGCCGGCGGCCGCCATCCAAGGGGTCCATTGAGTGGCCCATGCTGTCGGGGCCACCCGATGGATGTGGATTGTAAGTGGGCTCGGTCAGCGCTGGGTGCTTTAACAGCACGACAGGGCCCCCTGTGATTACATCAAACGCTGGGAGGAAGTGACTGCACGTCACTCCCAGCTAACACTGAGACCGCGCGGGAGGAAGCAGAGGGAGTCAAAGTGGGAACTGACTCCCATCCACCTGAGCCACCACTGGACCCAAGGGAAAGTCACCCTCCTGCACCTAAAAGGTATGAAACAGGAGGGTGACTAAAATATTTTGTGTGTGTTTGTTTGTGTGTATGTGTCTTTGTATGTATGTCTTGTGTGTGTGTGTGTGTGTGTGTGCCTGTATGTATGTATGTATGTATGTGTGTGCCTGTCTGTATGTATGTGTCTTTGTATGTATGTATGTATGTATGTATGTATGTATGTATGTATGTATGTATGTGTGTCTGTCTATTATAGTGGGCTATAGTAAGTAATAGTAAGTGGGCTACCTAGCTCAGCCTTCCTACTGGGCATTGCTATAAGGAAGGTTAAAAAATAGAAAAAAGGAAAAAAAAAAGTGGGAAGGGGAATTGAGGAGGGAGAGGAGTGGAGCTGACGCACAGATGAGAAATCAAAGTATGCGCAAACAGAGAAGTCGTCTTAATATCACCGAAAGAGGAGACCTTCGTTTGTTCCTTATGAAAATCGAACCAGATATCAAATATTTAGTCTCGCAGCATCAACCTCAAGTATCTCATTAATCACTAGTAAAGGTAATTTCAATTTACTTTATTGTTTTCTCATTAAACTTTATAAAGTTAAAAACATTATAAACATGCATTAAGTAGAAATAAAAAGATAAATGTACGTACATTTATTTATTTTTAAAACACCCTCCTTTCTAAAAAATATTCTGCACTTGCCCGAAAACTGGGCGGTAAGGAAAATTTTCCATCAAGAAAGATGCATTAGTGGGCGGTAGGAAGAAAAAGGTTGACTACCACTGGTATAGTGGATGCAGCATGTGTGTATTTTGTAATGGATGCAGTGTGTGGATAGCGGAAGCAGAGCGTGTGTATAGTGAATGCATTGTGTGTCTGTATAGTGGATGCAGCATGTGTGTATTTTGTAATGGATGCAGTGTGTGGATAGCGGATACCGAGCATGTGTTTAGTGGATGCAGCATGTGTGTATTTTGTAATGGATGCAGTGTGTGTATAGTGGATGCAGAGCGTGTGTGTATAGTGGATGCAGTGCGTGTGTATAGTGGATGCAGTGCGTGTGTATAGTGGATGCAGTGCGTGTGTATAGTGGATGCAGTGCGTGTGTATAGTGGATGCAGTGTGTGTGTATAGTGGATGCAGTGTGTATATGTATAGTAGATGCAGGAGGGTGGGGGTGACACAGTGAGGGAGGGGGTGACAGGTGGCAGAGTGACAGAGAGGGAGGGGTGACACAGAAAGGAAGGGGGTGACACACTGAGGGAGTGGGTGACAGGTGGCTGAGTGACTGAGGGAGTAACCGGTGGCAGACTGACTGAGGGATGGACATGGTAACAGAGTGGGTGACAGGTGGCAGAGTGACTGAGGGAGGGAAGGGGCAACAAGTGGCAGAGTGACTGAGGGAGGGGTTGACACAGTGAAGGAGGGGGTGGCAGGTGGCAGAGTGAATGAGGACGGGGGTGACACAGTGAGGGAGTGGGTGACAGATGTCAGAGTGACTGAGGGAGGTGGCAGACTGATGGAGGGAGGGTGTGGCAGAGTGGGGGAGGGGTAACAGGGTGACTGAGTTACTGAGGGGGTGACACAGTAGGTGACAGGTGGCAGAGTGACCGAGGGAGGGAGGAGGTGGCATAGTAAGGAAGGAGGTGGCAGAGTGACTGAGAGGGGGACACAGTAAGTATTTTTTTTTCCTGGTGGTCCAGTGGGCTGTCTCTCCAATCCGCCGGGTGTGAGCTGCAGACTGTGCAGTATCTCGCAATATCCAAAAGTCAGAGCATTGCCATGGCAACCCGCGGCAACACTCTCATTGGCCAGAGATTGCGAGACACTGCACAGTCTGCAGCTCACACCTGGTGGAGCTGCAGACTGTGCTGGTTCTCGGCCTCTCAAGGCAGGCTGGAGGGGCCTCGCACTGGCGGCATATTGGGCAAGCCGCCTGACCCCCTCCTGGTGTCGGGTCCTCGGTGAGGGACCGAGGACCTGACACAGTATGCCTACCCTATGGGGAGTCTGGCGGCTTCGAGGCCTTAGGCGGCTGCCTAACTTGCGAACCGATGGCCCGCCACAGAGGGGCGGCAAAATGCCTCACCTGTCAGAGTGCCACTTGGAGGCATGGCTCCACCGCAGTCTACGCATGGGACGGCCCTGATTGCACCGGATTTATTTCACCTTTGTTACTACAACATTCATTTACTATAATAATGCTACCATTCTTACCTAGAGTTTACTACTGTAATATTTTGTACTTGCACTTACATATAGTTATTACTATTTTGGCTGGCAAGTTTTTATTTTGTATACAAGAAATGTCTGCTTTGCTCCACACACACAAACTGGTTGCCCCTTCTAAATGTAAATCCTTTCAAATAACTGTATGTCTCTCTATTACATAGGCCCAATTCCACAAACCAACTGAAACAATCCACTTCTTTTCTACTAAGCACTACCCGCCCCGGTTCCTTCTAACAATATAGCATGCACTTTCAGCTGTTTGGAATCACAGTCAATCACCTCCAAATTCCCTCTTCTAACACTTGTCTCATCTTCCCATTTTAATTGTTGAGCTCATGGGCTATCTAGCAAAGTACTCTAAATAAAAGATCTTCAGCGGCTAGAACTCTGCACACTGGCAGGGGCCTTTTACCTTTTGTATTTGTCTGTTTATATTGTACTGTCTTTTTCCTAATTGTACAGTGCAGCGGAATATGTTGGTGCTTTAAAAATGCCAGTAATAATACATAAATAGAAAAGGCTCAGTGAGTCCTGTGTGCATGGCTTAATTAATATATAAATACCTTTATGGTACCAATAAATTGCGTAATAGGAACATACCCTGGATGTTGGGCAAAAGTAGCATCCCCGGGATATACTTGAAAACCAGAGTAATGTATTAATATTATTATATCTCGGATAAATACCAAACAACCCTTAAAAATGTGTTTAACTCAAACATTTTTGGGAAGGCAGTAAAAAAATAGGGGCTACTCCATCTTAAGAGAGCAGCCCCTGTCTTTTACAGCCTTTCCAAAAAGAGACCTCCTCCTCAACTCAGACAGAAATATAAACTACACAGACATCAAGCAAACCACCCCATTCTTCCTCCAAAGTGAGATCCTCATGACTATGGTGATCATCTATGACTCCCTCTAGTAAGTGTACTTGTTCCTTCATCCCCGGAAAGATAGGTGCCAGACCATTTTTTTTCTTAGTTAGCCAAAAATTACAACCAATGCGTAAAAGGAAACACAATGGAGTTTCATTCCTCCTTGATTAAGACTAACTCCAATTCCCCTTAATTTTCCTGTGATGACAAACAGTTGGTAAATGTAGAGGTTTTAGATCATATATCCAAATGGGCCATAGTTTAGGTTCTGATTGCCTCTTAAAGTTTTTCAAGCAACCTTTTCCTAGTGGAAAAGAGAAATGCTGGCCAAAGACCAGGTATAAATATGTGAACTTTTCCACTCATCCATTTGAGAGGGGAAAATTCAGCCCTGGTGAATAGACCGTCAGACTTACAGCGGTGAGTAACTTGGCTAATAGTGTAATTTATAGCCCTGGTTTAGAGCTTTATTTTCAAAGTAATCTTTTAATTCAGAAAGACTGAATGTTAAAGATGCTTATCCATAGGGGTCCAGAGCAGTACCTCCAATTCATTTTGAAGGGAAAAACAGCAATTCACTTGTCTGGATTTGGTATCATCAGAACCTTTGTGCTTCACCTAGACATTAAAGGAACAGTCCAGTCAACAGTTGCCAAGAATACCCTTAAGCAAGTAGCCAAACCATTTGCAAAGGGGTTGACAACTTACCTGGGGACAACGGGTGCCTGCTACCGCCCCCTGTGGAGCTGAAAGCTCCTACAAAAAGCTTCCAAAAGCACCAGAGAGCCAAACTCTGCCAATGTATTTATGTGTTGTAAAGTTATTTAAACGTGCATAATGCAAGTCTCCTGTTTTACATAAAATTCTCTATGTCTATCACAATCTAGATTTTCTCTCCCAGCATGCCGCTCTGCCACTTGTGATTGGTGCTGGGCTTTGCCAGTTGCCCAGTGCCAATCACACTGTAATCTGCAGAGGTAGCATGCTGGTTTCAGCATTACACGGAAATATCCCTGCTTGAGTTAGTACAGATTAGTCTAGGGTATTTCTAAGGATTAGCAAATGGTTAATTCTGGATTGGGGTTAATGCTATTTTATGGTTAAGGATAGTGTAAGGTTAAAGGGTTATGGTGGCAGCAATCTGTATGTGCAGCGTTTCTGCTTGAATCACTGTGCATACAAAAAAAATGAGCACGTTTGAGCAAAGGGATAGTTGCATCCCTGGCACAAATGACTTAGGCAGCCCAGAACTCTATTTCCGGACTGCACATGCACAATGGTGACAGACCGTTATTACCTTCTACCCTTGCATGCAGCGATGAGAAAGTGCCTGCAAGGGAAGCCTAAATTTATCCTCCCACATTTGAGGTCTCTCAGCATTGTTTAATGTGTGTTAATATTTTTATTATATCCTAGGGATAGGCAAGCTTTGGCACTCCACATGTTGTGGACTACATCTCACTTAACGTGTTGCCAGCATTATGGCTGTAATAGCATTATGGGAGATGTAGTGGACAACATCTGAAGTGCCAAAGTTGCCTACCCCGGTTGTCTCCCCTCCCTTCTCTGTACATCCCTGACTTACTCCCCTCCAAGATCAGAGCTGGTGAGAATGACTCAATGAAATACTTCTCTATGAGAAACATTTTTTTTTTTTTGGACCTTTCGAGTGAAGAGTGACATCAGATGGGAAGTGAAACCAGGAAGGAGAAGTTTCCCCAGCGCTGGGTTCCAGGTAAATAAAGATTATTGCACAGGTTTAGGAGGCAGTACCTAATTCCAAAACCCCATTAGGGCATTCTAAATAATAAGAATTATAATAAAAAGTTTACTAAAAAGCATTGGGAGTAACACTTTAAGGTTAGGGGAGATATATGGTCATAGAGTTAAGGGTTGGGTTTGTATATCATTTGGCTTAAAGAGAAACCCTTAAATTACAGTGGAACAAACACAGTGAAAATTCTAGAACTTGGGCAATTCCTTCTGCTCTTAAAGGGTTAGAGAAGATGACTAACATTTCTGTTTTTGAATCTTCCCACTGGATATTTCGGATTTGTTTAAATTTTGCTTGATTGTTCTTCAAATTCTTCAGCATTCCATAAAGAATGTTGCAGCACGGAAGAGGAAGAATATAGAGATGGTTTACAGACTAAGAACTATGCCAATTAGGTGTTGAGTGTTCCATCAACATCAGGTTGGTTGCAAATTGGTTTCTTGGTTCATTCTACCTTCCTTGTGTCACTTGTGTTTGCTGCTATAAAGAAAAGTATAGACTTTGACTAAGACTCCTATACTTAACAAAATCTCTATTTTCTGTCACGAAAAGGGTAGGAAAATCTACTTGCCATTGTTTTAATATGATACTTACTCTCACACACAAATTCTATATATATGATTTCAGATGTAGCCATGGAGTGAGAAATCTGTTTGTGCAGCCTTTCTGCTGAATAAGCTACACAAAGTTATCTCTAAATGCACCTCCAGCACACTTGACTTGGTCAGCCTGGACATTAAGAATGCCTAATGTTATACTTATTTTTGCACAAAACTATCGTCAGCATACACTGCACACTGGAAAAAGCTCAGATGTTGTCCCTCTTCTCTTGTAGACAGCGCTGTGAAAAGGAGAAAGCAACTTAATGTGTACTGTGAAATGCATTCCCTCCATTTTACCAGCTTTCCCAAACCTCCCTGCCTGCCTACATGAGTAGTCCATGGATTTTATTATTGGTCCCCTCCCATCCTTACTCAAGTACTACCAGACCTCCAGGCCCTTTCAATGTTTCCTCCTCCTCTTTTTTTTTTTTTTTCACCCTGTTTTCCATTTGTCCATAACCCTAGTACATGGCGTACTCCCTCCCTCACTCCTCAACTCAGAGCAGTGTAATGTTCAATGCTTCGGATTCAAGCACCAGATTCAAAGATTCCCTATAAGAAGAATGAGACTGGTGCATTCGCCATGCACGAGCACAAGGTCGAGCAATGGTTCTCTGTGAGAAACATTCGATTGGACCAAGAAACAGTTTTATGCAGCAAAAACAAGGCCGACTAAGTGAAAATAGCATGCTAGGACTTTAGGAGCCATAATAATTACAGGCTCCAACAGCATTAAAGTAACCCTAAATCTGTCACTTTATCTTTTAATTGCTTAGCTAGGTACATCTCTCTACCCCTTCTCAGAGCAGCCCTGTTTTTATTTTTTCATAATTAATATTTTTCCTTATGTATAACCTGCAGATTTACAAAAGGTGGAGCTTTAGTATAGCTCCACGTCCATTGTCATCTTTTGTCACTGGATGTCAAGTTCTTTACTCCCCTATTTTTATCAACGTGTTTCTTCCGGCAGGGTCGCATCATCGACTGATTGTTCAGACACTCAATATACTGGAAGAGCAGAAGTGGCCACCATCTTGGAAATAGGCCACTATGATAGAGGGAACAAAATATCTTTATGAGGAGCATTGGAATTGGCCATGCATCCTCCATGATGCTGCGAGATGCGCTGAAATGAGCAGCGCAAAGGAAGCCTCAGCGCTGGAAAAAGGACGGTAAAAAGCTTTAGTGTTCCTTTAATGTATTAACTATTAAAAATTCCCAGTCATACTGCAACAATGCCTTTTATATATACACTTATGACCAAACATTTTGTCACTCTACTTTATGCCATATTGTATTTGTCATTTTTATACAATTAAAATTTAAATCAGGACTTGACAAATTTGCTTGGAATCTAGAAAAGTTAGGAGACAGGTTTTTAAAAGTCAAAAATACAATTCTCAAAGGGACACTATAGTCACCAGAACCACTACAGATTAATGTAGTTGTTCTGAGCTCTATATCCTGTTCCTGCATGCATTTCAATGTAAACATTGTGTTTTCAGACAAAAGGCAGTGTTTACATTGCTGCCTAGTAACACCTCTAGTGACAGTCTAGTGACAGCTGCCTAGTAACACCTCTAGTGACAGTCTAGTGACAGCTGCCTAGTAACAGTCTAGTGACAGCTGCCTAGTAACACCTCTAGTGACAGTCTAGTGACAGCTGCCTAGTAACAGTCTAGTGACAGCTGCCTAGTAACACCTCTAGTGACAGCTACCTAGTAACACCTCTAGTGACACGGGGTCAGTGCTGCACCTACGCGCGGTTGCCAGCCCGCCTGAGCTCCCCATGTGCCGGCCGCCTGCCTCTGCTCTCAGGCAGCTGGTCAGCTCAGGGGCTATATGGCTCACAAATCCCAGGCCATGGCGAAGAAACATATAATTCATCTTTATATCTGGCCTAGTTATTACGACGTTTTATTTGCTCCATAGTAACAAATACTAAAAACATTGCAAATATCAGTCACATAGTTACACACAAAAAAATATATATAAATAAATAAAAGGAATTTCTATTTATTTATTGAACTAAAACATAATTGTTTTTTTGTGTGGCTTTGCATATCTTAGTATTTTCTTAAAACACATGATTGCCATTCAAATAATGTATCCGACTCCTTTTATTGAGTCCACGTTATTTACAAGTGGTAGGTTTGACACTTACTTGTATAGGTCTGCCATGTTGCTAGTATTGTGTTCTTTGGAGAGAATTCAAGGCCAATTACTTTAGGTAGATCAAACGTGTGCAGTAACTTGCTGTCAGCTGTGCTCGCTATATTTGTTCTGGAAACACAGAAGGTCATATAAAGTCATTTAGATTTCATGGGTCAATAATTAAACCGCTTTTTTTTGTCGCAGTTTTCTTAAACCTTCAGAACCACTTTTTTTAAATGTAAAGATCAACAAAACTAAAACCATTAAGCATCTACATGTGCATCACTACTATTTCTATGATTGCCAAGATACAACAAAGAGCACAGGAAATAATAGAAAATGAAGATTGTGTTTGTGAAAGCTTAAAGGGGCAGTCTAAGCAAGTGCAGAAGTTGTGCTGCCTAGAATGAACAGGGTGCCGTACAGCCAAAACCCCCTCCCCAAAACGGTCCTTTTCCCAGCACCAATTCAAATGTTCCCCTTATTCAGCTCACCGAATACAGAATTTACACAGTGCGTTCAGCCTTTCACTGACGTTCACGTGGTCTTCTCGGTCTGCCTGGCTTCTATTCTATAAAACTCATGGCACATGTGTATATCAGTGTCAATCATTATGACAATTTGGCACCAGCGTCTTTCATCGTATACATTACCCTACGGGGTCCGATTCGTTCCATAGTCTGTTTTTGGTTTCTTTAAACAAAGCTATCAGTATAATCTTGACCACATACCATTATACTATTTTGAATTAATGTAATGTCATAAGTTATTGTAATACAAACCCTTTTGTTATATGCTGTGATTTATTGTAATTTGTGAATTAAACTGCACAGTAATAAAGCATTTTCCTTTTACATATACAGTTAGTGTGCTATATACTCTTATTATATAAACAAATCTGACTACAGATTTAAAAAAAAAAACATTTATGGTGGGATTACTCGAATAATAATATTATTCCAACAACGGTTCATATGTTAAATAGTTTACAGACAAAAGTTCAAAACACAAAAATAAAAGTTTTGAAGCAAGTCAATTCAGCCATGTTTTGCCGCTGGAAGCCGAGAATTTCAGACAAAGTGGGTATTGAGAATGGCAAAAGAGGAAATCATAGCTGTATTCTGTCATCTCATCAGAGTATACACAACACTTTTTTTTCCCCTTTCTTAAATTCTTGAATAAAAATTCAGTACAATAACAGGCAAAATTTGGGGGGATATTTACAAATCAAACTACTGCCTAGGATAAGCGAAAACTTATTTTGGCTACTATTTTAAAATGGAAATTTCCAAAGCAAAAATAGAAAATGAAAAGATTTGAAACATTTCATTTTAAAGCCCTTTCTGATGGTATTGATCATTATTATATGTTGTAGAATGTTTTCTGTCTTCAGCCCTGCTGCATTTAAGCAGCAGCTCTGCAATAGGGTATGCAGGGAGGTTTAGTGCTGAGACATTGAGCATGAGGTCTGCATCACAGGTGGGTGTAGATCACAGTAAAGACCACACTCACTAATGCACCAGAACACATCTGGCGAAACTCCCAGACTGCACTCTGACTCAGCAGTGGAACTGCAAGGGAGTGGTTAGTGTGGGCTGCATCCGCCGGATGTGCAGTCCATATGCTAAACAACAAGGAACTCTTGGAATATTATTTTTAAAATTTCCACACCCCTGATTATGGGTCCATAAGAGGTTACATTTTAAATATTCAGAATATAAAATATAGAACGACACAATGGCTGGAAATAGGGACACTGTCAATTGTAGTCCCATGAGTGAATAATAGAAACACCAGCAAAAGCTAAACAGATGAAATTGAGAAGTAGAAAGAAACATGAAATAAAAGAGTGGGTAGGGTAACAGAAAGAGAATGGTGGGCATAAAACTTGGAACTTTGCTGAAATAAGTCAAGATAGCATGTCAATAGAAAGCAGGGCATTTTCAGAAGTGGTTGCAAATGGCCAAGTTAGCTTTGTGTGATTAGATTAGATGATGACACAATGAGAAACATCTAAATCCTGGAGACCCAGATTTTAGGGAATGTGTCTGTTGTCTCATGCAACTGAGCTGTCAGATACTGCATACAGTAAATGGACTGTTTGAGTTACATTTACTGCAAATATACTCACTGCTGTATTTTTCCCCGTGTATTTTCCAAGTTTTAATATATGAGAGAACAACTGAAACCATCTTGAGGAACAATTTGATAAATCCAACCAAAGGTCCATGCTAAAGTTAAAGGAACAATCCAAGCACCATAACCCCTGGCACTCCCCCTGCCTCCCCTACCACTGTAAGGATTCAAATCTGTTTTAGAATGGTTTGGCATCTTACCTGGGTTCTGTTGGATGCTGCTGCCAGCCTCCTCTACTGTCTAGTAAGTGCTGTAGACTCCTAATCAGGTGTATCGATTAGCTCTCCTGAGCTAAGCCCTGCAGTGTAGTGTTAACGTACCAGATGTGCACACATCAGTCCAGGTAAAAAAGCCAGAGTAGGAGTAATAACTGGAGCTTATATAGATCTAGGCACCATTTCACCAGCGTTGTGTACCCAATTTGAATTAATCCGTACACTGGAAGTGTGCTTACGCAAGTTTACTATCCATCTAGAACAGGGGCAGGAAACCTTCTGCATTCCAGATATTGTGGACTACATCTCCCATGATGCATTGCCAGCACTATGGTTGTAAGAGCATTATGGGAGATGTAGTCCACAACATCAGGAGTGCCGAAGGTTGCTTATCCTTGATCTAGAATATAGCATGCAATGTGATAAGCTCTGAGCACTAGGGGATAACAGGTTACAGGTGTAGCGAATAGCAATCAACCATCTTGGTGCCCCCTGTGTTAATCTGATGGAATGAAAGGGTAAACAGGAATTCAGCTGATTCAGAAGTTTGCTGTACTGCAGCGTTCATTGCATCAAGTAGGTTTACTGCACACAATAAAGGCTCACATTGTACAAATACTTTGGAAAAATAATTGGGTAAGAACTACTTTATTATGGCATCCCAAGAAGAGTGTGGGCTTTAAAACATTTCGCCAAAAACTGGAGAACTACAGCCATAGCCTGTAAACAATAGAGTTATGCAGTGAACCATTTGAGGTTATATTTTTTCTGCACAAATTAAAATCTGCATGTAAACCTGACTAGAGATAAAGTCCTGGCAAGGAAACATTGGGGATTGTGTACAAAGAGCGTTTCTGGGTCAAAGTTCTAAACTGGAAGAATCTCCATGGAAACCAATGGAATGTTCCTAGAGATACCTCCATATTTCTAACTTTAACCCCATTGCTCTTAATACAGGACACAGTTAGCCCTATGTGAAGTGGTCAGATGGCCATGACCTCTTTCTGCAGCCTAAATATGATCTCACTGACAAACATCAAAGAGACATTGAGGAATTAGTCTTTTTGTTTTTACGGATTACATTTTACTCCTTACTATTGCTGGTGACACTTCAAAAGTTAATTAATTTCATTATCCAATCAAATGAAAACACTGATTATACTGTGTCGTGACAATGCAATGAACTAAGACATGCAAGGAAGTGAAAGGAGATTTGTAGGATTATTTACTACAATATTATTGAAAATGTAAAGTGAATTTCAAATGTAAGGCAAACGTAGTCGAACAATTTTCCAGGTCAGCTATGCTTCCAGCTTGGCTGCTTTGGATCTAAATATGAAATTCACTTTGAATTCCAGACAATTCTCACATTAGTAAATAACCATGTTCATTGTTTAGTTTCAGTTTGAGAATACTATTAACTATACTTATTAACAATGATTTTGTTGAAATATATTTTTTTCTTAAAGCGACACTGTCATGCCGAACTTACCTTTCCCTAATCAATTCCTCTTCTCTTCCTCGCTCAGGACCTGTTCTTCATTTCTTCCATTCTGCTCTAGTTTTCTTTAAAACATAAGACAAAATAGTGACTACTTTGTCTTATGTATATTTCCTACGCCTGACCAGCTATGACCAGAGGAGGAGCAAAGTGTGCTCCATTTCCTGTGGTCAGAGCAATTTCCCACAAGTCTCACCTTTACTCCGTGATCTCGCGATGTCTCCTTTCACTATTCCAGAACGTCCTGTCATTTAGACAGAACGCTGGCGAAACTACAGAATTTCGCCCTTACAGAATGAGAACAGTTTGTTCGTTCATTTAAGGACGACAATCGGTACTTTTAGGTCGGTTCGAAATTTCATTTGAATTAATGAAATTCTGATCAGATCCGGGCTGCGGGTGCATCTTGCAGTTGCTTAGTAGATAACTCCATAATTCCCACGGTATTAGGGAGCTAGCTACCAAAAGACTGAAAGACCAAGATTGGTCTTTCAACTAACTTTACTAATACTAAGTAAAGATTACTTAGTATTAGTAATTAATCTGCCTCTACTCGCTATTTTGCGATTAGGGGCATGTCTAGAAGCAGGGGGAGGGGGCCCTAAATGAAACTGAGTGGGGGGGACCTATTGTCCTGCTCCTGGCACCCACCCATGAGCAGCGGGTGGGGGGAACCTATTGTCATCGTCCACGATCCCCACCCATAAGCAGTGGGTGGGGGCCTTAAATGACAACGGGGGGACCTATTGTCGTCATCCCCCGGCCCCCACCAATGAACAGCAGGGGGGGTCCTAAATGAAAATGGGACACACACACCTATTGTCCCCCCCCCAGGCAATGGGGGGGGGCTAAATGTAAAAAAAACCCCCCCCCCCCCGCCCAAGGTGACAAAGGGTCCCCAAGACCCTAGTTACCCCCCAACCTAAATTAAATAAAGCCCTACCTACCATCCTCACCCTAAAAATAGTGAGGGGGGAGACAATAAAACTAAATACCTGTAAATAAATTTAAAAAAAATACTTACCATTCGATGTCTTCTTTTTTCTAAAACCTTCTTTTTTCAGCCCCAAAAAAGGCCAAACAAAAATCCATAATACCCGTCGAGCTTATCAAATAAAATAACAAAAAAAACATGGTCATTTATGACCCCCACCCGCCACTCATGGGTGGGGGCTGGGGGGCACTAGCCCCGCCCTTCCCCTTATTGTCATATAGGGCCCCCATCCGCGGCTCATGGGTGGGGGCCAAGGGGGACCCTATGTCCCCCGTTTAGTTGAGTAGCCCTCGCGGGGCACAGGTGGGTCACTATATCCCCTCCGCTAGTTAGTAGATGGGGGGGGGTAATATTGCCCCCCATAGAGTGAGGACATGGGGTCTTAGGAGTGGCATGAAGCACAGCTACTTGCCCCTTCTATCTTAACATATTACAAGGAGGGAGCTGCGAGCCGGTAGCTCCTTCCTTGTAATAAACTAAACAAACGAACATCGATATTTAATGTTTGTTTATTCGTCTGACATTTCTATTAATTCAATAGTCCCAGTCTTTAACTGGGCATGCGCGGGAATTTTACAGCTCTATCTAGTGTGGGCAGTTGAAGTGTCCCACAGGGCTTTCATCTACCCACACAAAGATGGCAGGGCCGAGGACCTAGGTCTGGGCACAAAATAAACATTTTAAATGTAATATTAAATGTAATATAAAATGTAATATAAAATGTAATATGGGGGTGAGTAGGGGGGAAATTAGATGTAGTGGGGTCGGGAGGTGGGGTTTAAAAAAAAAAAAAAAAAAAAAAAGAAAATGGATGTGGCCATGACAGTGCCGCTTTAACCTTATACTGCACACACTTCCAATTTACTGTGTTTTGTCTCTGCATTTTTAATTGGGATATATAAATATATATATAGCTATAAATACAAGATATCCCAATCATTTACAGAGAACCAAGATTGAATGGAACTGTCAAAACCAAATAAGCAGCACATTCCATGTGAACACAATGTCTTAAGGGACCAGATTGTAATTACTGCATCAGTTCTTAAGTGGTTAAGCTATACCTGCTGTGGTTTGCTCTAAAATGCTCTTTAATTTGTGGTCAGCATATAGACATATAAATATTGTAACAGATAATTCCCCATCCCAAACTCTGTGCCATTAAAATAGAACTTACGCTTCTCCATTGCACCATCCAAATAGTTTTCCATCCTTACTGAAAGCGAACACTTTGCAGTTTTTACTTGGATCCCTATTGTAAGAAAAACATTAACAAAGTCAAATTACGACACAACTAAACGGAGTTAATAAAAATATATTGGGTTGTAGTTACAATGCAATATCTCTGGAATATATTTCGACAACACAATATATGATTTGATTTAAACTACATATACTTCAGAAATAAGAACTTTCATAAAGATAGGGTTTTTTTCCTAATGCTGGAATTTTTATGAAAATTCAATGCAATTATCAGATTTTATTATTAACATAATGTAAAGTCATAATTTAATAAAAATTTTAGGGAAGGACCGATATTGTTTTTTTAAAGTCGATACCGATAATCTGAACTTTCAGGCAGATAGACGATAACTTGCCGATATTCTGTACATTTACCATTTTGAAAAAATAAACTATTTCTAAAGGTAAATGCACAAAATATACATGCCACATGTAGTGGATGCAGTGTGTTTAGACAGGGGAGCTGTGTGTTTGTGTAGTGTGTATATAATGAATGCAGGGTGTGTTTGTGTAGTGTGTATAGTGAATGCAGTGTGTGTTTGTGTATGGTGAATGTAGTGTGCGTAAAGCAAGTTACTTACCTCCCTGCAGCTCCCCAGTCTAACTCTCGCGGTCTGCGCGCCGCGTTGCCATGGTAACCCGTGGCAACACTCTGCGGCAGCAGGTCTAACGAGATTTACACGGAGGAGCTGCTGGGAGGTAAGTAACTGCTTGCTTGTAATGAGCCCGGCGGTTCTAGGATGTATTATCAGCAATATCGGCCGATACCGATATTGTTGAAAATACCGAATATCGGCCATAATATCGGTAAAACTGATAATCGGTCGATCCCTAGTTTGCTTATCTCTTTCTTTATACCCCCAGCAGGAAAGAAAGAAATTAGTATACAACTATAGAAAAAAAAAATTACACAAACCCTTAAACTCATGAGAGATGGACCTTATAACACATCAGACTATCATAACATAGATCATCCCATCACCCATCATGTGACCCTAAGCTGCTCTGCTTTCAGGAACAATATAAAAATATCACAACGCATAGATGGAAGGGGGATAGAAGCATCCAACTCTGAACTTGAAGGAGTTTCAAGAGCTCACGAAAAGCACTGATGTTTTGGGTGACCTAAACTTTCCACCCAGCACCATGAAACTCTGTGCTGGATTGGAGGCTAGCCGTGACCTGCTGAAACTTTGACTTTCATCCAACTTCGGAAAGCCACACTCGATCAGGGCACTTTTTGGAAAAAGTGGGCGCTCAGATAAAGCTTCCTGTGGACACCAGTTGTGTGGAGATTTGGGCACGGGAATACAAGTTATTATGTGCTTTGTTACACCGGCGCCAAGGTGTGTAGACACTAATAAAATGATCTGTTAAGGTACAGACACCAATGCGTTGGGGATCTCACAATTCTATTGTTCTCCTTGGGGGCCTCCTGTTGAGACCCCAGGTATAAAAGGTGACATGTTTTGCCAATAAAACAATTCTACTCCCAGCATTAAGACTCATTTAATCCTTAAGGGACCACTCTAGGCACCAAGACCACTTCAGCTTAATGAAGTGGTCTGGGTGCCTGGTCCAGCTAGGGTTAACCCATTTTTTCAGAGAAACTGCTATGTTTATAAATAGGTTAATTCAGCCTCTAAAGCCTCTAGTGGCTGCCTCATTGACAGCCGCTAGAGGCGTTTGCGTGCTTCTCACTGTGAAAATCACAGTGAGAAGACGCCAGTGTCCATAGCAAAGCATCATAAATGCTTTCCTATGAGACAGGCTGAATGCGCATGCGCGCAGCCAGCCGAAGAGGAGGAGAAGAGGCGGAGAGGAGGAGGAGAACTCCCCGCCCGGCGCTGGAGAAAGGTAAGATTTTAACCCCTTCCTCTCCCCAGAGCCCGGCTGGAGGGGGACCCTGAGGGTGGGGGCACCCTCAAGGCACTATACTGCCAGGAAAACAAGTATGTTTTCCTGGCACTATAGTGGTACATTAAAAGACTTGTGTATGTGAGATTGACAGACTTCCTCAAGCCCAACTCTCTGATTGACCCACTTCAATCTGGTTTACGCGCTCAGCACTCTGTGGAAACCGCTCTGACCAAAGAATCAAACGATCTACTCGCTGCAAAATCTCATGGTCACTATTCTATCCTAATTCTTCTTGACTGTTCCACTGCTTTTGATACTGTTGATCTTCAACAGCTTCTTCTTATCCTCCGTAATCTTGGTCTACCATATATTGCTCTCCCCTGGTGCTCCTCCTACCTCTTCCAGCACTCTTTTAGTGTTTCTTTTTCTGTCTCTGCCTCTTCCCCCAACCCCCCTCTCTGTTGGTGTCCCCCAAGGTTCAGTCCTTGGTCCCTTACTGTTCTCGATCTATACTGCCTCCTTTGGTAAACTCATCAGCTCCTTTGGCTTCCAATATCACTTCTATGCGGATGACAAGCAAATATATCTGTCCTCCCCTGATCTCTCCACGCCCCTCTTGACTAGTGTCTCTGACTGCCTCTCTGCTATTTCTAACTGGATGGCTGCCCACTTCCTTTAGCTGAACTTCTCCAAAATAGAACTTCTGGTCTTTCCTCCCTCAGGTGTTGCTAATCTTGTTTCTGTCTCCCTGCTTGTTAATGGTGCTATCATCAACTCCACTACGCAGGCCCGCGTAGAAAGAGTGTGAGTATATATATATATGTATATAAGAATTGTGTAATTGTGTGCGGGTAATGGAGTCCCTAGCTGTATGTGTAGAAGCATGCGTCTTCATGTATGGATCTGTGACATTATGGGATGGAAAAAAAATAATTCTACACACAAAATTGCACCAGATAAAACAGAAATAGTACCTTGGAAATGCTTCACATTCTGCAAAGATTGGGGGTCCATTGATCATACGGATCCCATCTGATCCTCTGACTTGAAAGGGGGGGAAAAAAGAGAATGGTTATGCTGTATTACCACAATTACAGACCCTGCAAAGTTTAAAGACTAAAAAGGACTGCTAAGAATTATAAAACAAACAGGCTAACAAATGTAGCAAACTATTAAAGGGACCTATTAAAGGGATAGTCTAAACACCATCATGACTACAAGCCATTGGTTGTAGCCATTATGGTGCTAGCAGGTTATGGCCACCATCACCCATATCTGTGTCAAACAATTAGAGCGGTCTAATAAAAAAATAGGGCCTACAGGCACCAGTTGCCTGTCCCTTATTTGCCACATGATTTAAGTGTCCCTCTCTGTGCATTTGAAATATTGTTTCCAGATGAGAACCTAAAATATAAAAACTTCTCATTCAACAAGTATTCATAACAACATTTCCTACAAGATATTTTAAAGGGACACTGTAGTCACATAGACCACGTCATCTCATTGAAGCGGAGTGGGTGCTGTGTCCCAGTCCCACTTAGTCCTGCAAGGTAAATTATTGCAGGTTTTGAGAAACTGCTATAATTACATTACAGGACTAAGCCACTAGAGGAACTTCCTGGTGGCTACACGACTTTTGGTCACCGAAGCTGAACGTCCTCACACTCTGCATGAGGACATTCAGCATCAGTAAAATCCCTGTAGGAAAGCATTGAATTGTTGGATGATGCCAGAGGAGGCGGAGTGGCAATGAAAAGTGTAAGTGACTATAGGGTTTGTTCACCGTTTAGCTGCTGGGGAGATGGGGGAGACCAGAGTGCTCTATGGCAGTGCTCTCCCATGCCGGCTCTGCAGGACCGGAGAGATCAACAGAGATCTCCCTCTCCAGCCCGCTAGCAGCCGGCAGGGGAGGGACAGAGGACCCAGAGGAGCTCTAATCTGCAGCTCCGCCGGGTTCTCCTCTCGCGAGCTCGGAGCGTTGCCACAGTTAACATGGCAATGCTCCGAATCTTGCGAGAGTGAACTCTAGCAGCGCCTGAGGCTGCTAGAGTTCACTCTCACCACCTGGACCACCAGGGCTTCCCCACTGGACCACCAGGGATTGCAGGAAATGTTGTGTCCCCCCCCCGTCAGGTAAGCAGGGTGGAGGGATATTTAAATTTAAAATATATATATATAATTGAATTTGAACTCCCACCCCTACACACACACTACTGCCCCTATCCCCTTCTACAGCCCCTATCCTGGCAGATCCCAGGTAAGTTGTCAAACGGTTCACCATGACCACTACAAAGTGCTTTAATGGTTATTGTGCCAGGATTGTTTCTTTAAATAATCTACCAGTGCCCCTCCATAGATTAGGTTCTGAATCTGAGCTTGAAGGGCAAGCATTTCTGCCAAACAGGGGCCCAGTATATGCTGCTGCGCTGTACAGATATACAACCTAGAAATTTTTTTGACTTGGGGCACCTTGAAAAAAATATTAATATGCTCTATAGAGTTAGGAATACCGATTTTGTATTCTTAACACTATAAGTTGAAGTTGAGAAAAAGAGCTTCATGTGACACGACAAAAAATATGTGAAGTGGCTCTGTCACTTTATAGTATTTTAAATAGTTGAAATCTTTACAATGTAAAGATTGTGTTTGAATGTCTTAATGTCTTTGAAATTGTAATGCAATCAAAATATATAAGACAAAGTAAGTACCTATCTTTTCAAAGAGAACGTCACTTTCAAGGTTTTTAAATATTAGGTTAACTTATTTCAGTTAGCTCACATGTAGATGTGAAGTGCCAAATTTCTGATTATCCTGCAACTATCAGTTATTGTTTTAACTGCTGTCCTTTGCACAGAGCACAGCAGGAGGAAGCATATAGGGAACAGAATAAGCGAAACAATGTTTCTATTTCTCTCCTTTTCACGTGCAATGTTTGACCTGGCTTTACTTGTTATTTGCCAATTCTTTAATATAAATATAATTAAAAATAACCTGGAGAATTTTGTGTGTGTGTCAATGTTTTTATTAAAACCAAAAGTCCAGAAAAGTTATAGTTCCCCTAAAAAGCTTATATAATACAAATTAAATGCCAGATTTTGGCAAATAAACCGGTTACACAGTAGGTCAGTGAGTGAGTCCGGCATGTTTGGACTGGCTGTGTGTGATGGGAGTTGAATTTGGCAGATATCCCCCATCCCATTCACTTTAAAGAAATCATGCGCCCCTGGCATTGCCGCTTGGACACTGGAGAATGGGGAGTTTAATTCTGTAATGGCCCAGTGCAATGACCCACACTAACACTGCCTCCCTGCACCCTGAGAGGGACATGTACCCCCAGGGTGAGCCAGCCCCGGACCCCTGCTCCTATCATCGAACTCTGCAGCCACGGGCTCGCGGCACGGGATAGCATGGGGAACACACGTGAGAACAGACCTGCCAAAAGCGGCATGGGGGGCGCCATCTTGACGGAAAGAGATCAGTGACGTCGGAGAGCAGGGGGAGGGACTACTGGAATGATACACGTAGCCATTAGGGGGCCGCGTCACCCAGTGCGGGTTCTGGGATATCCGTACGCTTAGACGAAGAAAGCCATGGTTTGCATTATCCTTCCGCTCTAGGGAGGAAGTGCTCAGGGATAGCGCATTCCTAAATGCCAGTACAGAGTAGTGTCATTGAGCCAGAGCTCACTGAGTGGATCATAAACATAAATAAAATACGGATAAGTGTGATAAAAAAAAACATCTCTTAAAGATTGGTTTCATAAATCAACATTTCCTTATCAAGCAGAAAAAAGTTACATGTTTTCAACTTGTAAAGTATTTTAAAGTGGATTAAAAATCCTAGAGTTCCCCATTAGTTATTACAGTGGAACCCTTTGACGCGTTCTACTATGTGTGCCAATATCCTGGAACCCCGTCTTCTAAAGAAAAAGGTTTTGTGGAAAGGAAAAAAAAATTATATATTTTGTTTTTTTCTGAATAAACTAGATTTATGTTAGTTCCATATGCTTGATGTAATTTAATAATATAATCACAATAACTTGTAAATACCTTTTTAATGGGACATTTTTATTATTATTATTGCCATTTATATAGCGCCAACAGTTTCCGTAGCGCTTTACAATATTATGAGAGGGGGGATTTAACTATAAATAGGACAATTACAAGAAACCTTACAGGAACAATAGGCTGAAGAGGGCCCTGCTCAAACAAGCTTACAGTCTATAGGATAGCATGCTTTGAGGAGATCCTTGGTTTATCAAGTATAAATCTTTTTTTTTTTTTTTTTTAAATGATACATGCAGTCCAAACTCATACTTTAATAATGTTTAAACTGAAACTGTTGTTTCCTGAAAAACATGCTTTCTCGAGATAACAAGTTACAAAAAAATATAAAAATACATGGCCTCTCTGAGCTTTTGGAAGAATGTCAACTTAATCTAATTAACAATTACAGAATGAGGAAAAAATGTTAGCTTGACTTTTTTTCCACTTTTTTTTGTATTGCTGAATGGATAGTAACCAGATAGATAGTAACCAGATTGCTGAATGGATAGTACAAGTCAGATGTATATATTATCACATTGTGTACAAAGAACATAACTCCCATCTGTCCTTATTTACGAGGGGAAGTCCCTATTTTGGGCCCAAGACCATATTTCCTTTTTTTATAATGTCCCTCTTTCTTGGAGCTCCTTATTGTCGGAATGTTTGATTGTATAACAATCCTCTGCAGCAACAATACTCACAGTAATGTGTCTTCACTACAGTGAATGTGTTTAAATAAGATTGTCCTTGTTCTAAATTACATTTTAGTTACATACATTATTAGTAAGTCACCTAAAATTTTTCAGAACAGCTTCATTGTTGGCCACACAACCGCTCATTCTCTAAATGTAAAGTGTCAGGTCTTTTGACATTGAAAATGTTGGGAGGAATTACATCTTTTTTGACAAATATTCTACATACTACGTGTCCATATTTATTGTGCAAGGTAATAGAGTATTGCAGCATCCTTTACTTTTTTTTTTAATTGGAAAGACATGCTTTCCTCCGTGGTTTAAGTACAAAGCATTTCTGCACAAAATGACACAAGCGATTCAAATATGATCTGTGAGATATTGGTTGAAGCAACTACAGCACAGATAATACACAGATAATGGCTGTAAAAAAAATAAAAAATACCAGCAAGTCAGAAATACTGTAATCAACGATGAAAGGGAGGAAAAAAGTAAGCATGCCTAAATTCTATAATTTGATATCATTTTGATATTGTACATGGAATGAGGGATCGGTTTTCTGTGTTATATTTACATCTCTTTTTTGAGAAATATACCTAATAATATCTATCCAACAGACTATGCTCTGCAACAGAGCCCTTCCATGACTGGATTGAGTGAAATAGATACAAGAGCTAAATAGGAAAAGAATAAAGGAAATGGGCAGGGAGTGTCTAGTAAATATATTGAGTATCAGTATGTAAAGGCCCCACCACTGTGACAATGCAGAGTCCTGGAACAATGTTCTGTAACAGTAAGGCAGGGCTTTGAACTCTCTTTCAGGCATGCGTGTAAATTACAAAAAAAGATTTTTTTAAAATGAGAAGTTAAATAAAAATAATTTGCATATAACAATGTAAATAGTTGGAAGGGTGCTAATTTGTGTCTGGGGCATGACTGCTGACCCATGTAAACCTCCCGTTGCCCAATAAATACACAACACCTGTATAGTGGATAAGGGAAATGGCCACAGCTTTATTGAACTTTTGAACCAGGATTAACTTCCACCTGTCAGCTGATAGGGGTGATTATTCCACCAGACAGATATCACTTGCAGTTCCCAGAGTCCGAAGCAGCCTGCCTTCCGCCTTCATCCCAAGCAGGCTGCGACTCCCCAATCCGAATAGGCACTTGCCTTCACATGCGCTGGCCAGGTATCCCGCTATGCGATGCCGGCCTCCTTCCCGCTCCCCTGGCATTGAGCTGCTGGCAATTACTCTCCTTCCTTCTAAGTGGCAAGTGCCCACCCCCCAGGCTCCCTTATATCTGAACCCATTTTGCAAATGTTTTCCCCTTGATCCAGCCCCCTTCCCTGGGCAGCAGTCATGCTTCTCTTCTTTGGCAGTCCAGGGAATCTCTATTTAATGATTGGTAAACAATTAGCAGAAAAATGTACACATCTCATACAAAGGAATTATAATATTTTTGAAACACCATTTTGTGCCATAAATGTTGCAGTCTGAGCAAGATGTGGAGATTTTAGTAAACAAAAAATGCCAAGTTCTAATGAAAAAACATTGGAATAATAACATAGGAACATAGCTAAATCTTTTAGTCCGCCTTTAAAAAAAATTAAATAAATTGTTTCCATAAAACAGAATACAGGGTTTTAGTTGCACAACCAAGTTTAAAGCTGTCAGAGTTTTAAGGTAGATGTAGTTCTACAAGTGTCAGGTCTGCATTTGGTTACAGCAGATTTACATAACAGCAGTGTGGCTGACAATATGATTAAATACAGAACACAATTGGCTCAAATAATACCTTGTCCTCTATACATAAGGTGGGCATACCTTAAGGAACAGCTTGGTCAAGATGGACAACCCCTCTTTTACTCAGGATGAGGAGGGATGGAAAATCTTGGTTGGATGTCGCAAGTATTACAATATTAGTGTTTTCCTTTTTGCTGATCTTAGTTTCTTTCTCCCATGTATTGTCTAAAAAATCCTTACAAAGTATTCAAATAGCAACACATCATTATTTTTGTATATATGCAGGTTCTCCTGTGACAAAATCTGCTCCTATGACATCCTTTTATATAACCAACTAGTTACTCCGTCAATCTTGCTGAACTGTTTTTATTAACAAAATGTAATATCACACTAATTAAACTGAGAATATAGGTTTACAGTTTCCATGTCAATTTATGGCAACTTGTGGTTTATTGTGTAACCCTACAAGTCAGTGAAAGCTATATGTTAAATTGATGCAGATGTTCAGAAGAGATTGATACAGTGGCAGAATTACCAAAGTCACAACAGTGGCTATCTCGATCAGGTCTAGGAGTTTTGCCTGTCAAGGAGGGAGGACCAAGCCAGACAAGGGCCTCCTTTGCAATACTGCCATTTAGTATATTGTCAATTTGGGAGAATACTACATAGTAATTAAATCACATCATGGAGCATTTTAAGAGTTCTCTTGCAGGCCTGGTACGTACTCTGAGAATGAATCACTGCTGAGAGGTTATTGTGGCAACGTTCATACTCATTCAATGAGCATCAGACCAGAGAAACGCTTAGGGAAACCTGAAAACTTAGAAAAAAATTATGTGCAGGCCACATAATTCCTAAAGAAGCAGCGTCCCAGGGCCACCAGTTATTATACTTTCTCTTGCAGAAAGCAGGAGATCAGGTAAAAATGTATTATTAATTATTGTTATATATTATTATTATTTCACATACACAATCTCTACAGACGATCCTACTGAGACAATTCTACATACAACCCCATACAACCTCAGACAATTCTACATACAACCCCAACTCCACACACATTCCCACTCACCCAACTCCACACACAATCCCACTCACAGAACATCTCTCCTTAGTTTTGACACAGAGAAAGCAAAATGACGCATGAGAATTTCAGCATATATTTTGATATTATGGAAATATTGTTGTCACATACTGTGTATTGAGCACCTTCAGAATTCTTCACCTGTAGAAATCGCTTCAACAGCATTGATACGAAGTCCCTATTTGGGGAATAAGGTTTATCCCTAATCCTTTCTTCTTTCTTACTTATATTTTTTTAAATTCTTTATTTTTGTAGTGCAAAGTAAACTTACAGTTTAATATAGACATATTACCAAAAGAAACTAAGTATAACAATGCTTATTCAATTATGTCCTGCAGGCAATGCACTAATTTTTATGTTGTAAAACACGCAAATTAAACAAAATAGATAACTTGCCCAACGGCATTGTGAGTAAAGAGACATCAGGCTTTTAGAGGCGATTAAATGCCACAGACAGTGTAGAAGATAATGCACAAGCATAACACATATATAGCAAGTTGAGCAGCCTAGTTGTACTTGTGCCCATCTGGGAGGCCCTTCTTAGTTTTAGTAGCAGTCCAGCAACTAACTTAATCTCAAGAGTGAATGAGCAGTTATAGCAGAACTACGAAAGACAATCAGGAGAGACATAACAGAAGGTTTCTGTAACTTGTGACTGCTGTGAGGTGGTGCAACTGATCCTATACCTTCCAAGGGAAATGTACTGTCTCGCTTGAGCCAAGGGCACAGATCCACACCCCGTCTGAGTTGTATCTGGGGCGATGCCTGTTGTGAGGAGAGGGTTAGGACCCATGGTGACCAGAGGAATCCTTCCAACTGATCTCTCAGTGAGGGAGATTCAAAGAGTTGTCCGCTAGGACCCAGGCTCGCGGAGTTGCAGGATGCGGTTCCAGCTGAAGGGGAGAGTGAGTGTGCCTGTTGTCTCAGTTGAGCTCCACAAGAGGTTTCATCTACCTGCATCGTGGTGGTCTTTTACGCGGATTCCGCTTGGGTAATCTGCCTGGCAGCTGGGTATGTTGTTTAGGGTACATACGTTGGTGTAGTTTGGCCCAGAAGTCAGCAAATATGCAATCGATTTTGTCGAAGGCCTGTGACTGCTTCATTGCTGCAGTCCAGGTAGCACGCGGCGCCCGCCATCTTAGCGCAGCGTATGCTGTAGTGAGCTTGAGAGTGGCACTACCGTGTCTCGGCTGAGGAGGAATGGGGCTTCCACAGATGTGGACCAGATCACCACCACCGGTCCTGGGTGACGGGACATGGCAGCAGGGTAACACAGCGAGGGTCCAGTAGCTGGCTATCTGGGAGAGCGGCCATCTCTCCCATCCAGCACTCGCACTAGGCCCTTACAATGCCCCCTGTAGATTGTAAGGTAAGCTTGAGTTACAGGGCTCTATAAGTGACGCCATATGGCAGGAAAGCAGCAGGCTTAAACCGTAGCTGAACAAGAGCCTTAAGATGCTTTTTTGGGGGGAGAATTAGCGGTAAAGCGAGGAGCTCTGACAGAGTGCGTCCTGCTGCCATGAAGGCCAGGCCCTGCCCCCTTTTTTCTTACTTTTAACGATACACCAATTGATTCACCCTGATACTCTCCTATCTCTTGACACTTTACTTCACTTCCAAATTTTATCACATGAACCCATTATAATCACTATCACTATCAACAGGAATAGCTTTGATTGTGTTGGGAAGGACTGGTTAGCAACCAAAAAAATGATCAAATGCTTTTCTTAGTGTTGGCAACCCTGCTTGTAAACTCTAGATCCCATTTTTCAAGTAAGGATAAAAAGAATCCCTGGAACTCCTCTCGTTGTATGCTTAGGATAGTGTGACGGTCACACTCTGCAATGAGTCATTATGCACTGTTGCCCCTTATCTCTCTTGCTCAGGGTTATAGCCCTTTCTTAACATGTGCATACACTTCATTTTAAAAGGTGTTAAGGATAAGATCTTTTGGTTTTGATCTTTGTTCCTTTATGACTTGGTTGTGTTTGGAATCGTTCTTATTTTAAAGAGGAACTGATTCATGTGGACTTCTGGCACAAAATAATCGCTAACTAGAAGCTGGCATGAGAGAACCCAATGATTTAATCCTGGAAACAGAAGTATGTTTTTTACTTACCCCCTCTCCACCACTTACTCCAATATTACTTCAATAGCATTTACAGGGGCAAGGGAATGGGAAACTGCTGTAGTTCAGCTTTTATGTGGATTCTATACTTCATCTTGTATTAATAAATATAATAAAAACATTGTAGGAGAGAACGTCTAAACAAAAGATTCAAATGCCCTATGTGAAGTATAATGGAATGTTTTCCTTAATGAAAATATATATTTCTGTCTCATTAACTTCAAACAGTGGGCATTATTGTGACATCTGAGCATTAGCAAAATCTGGGCATTTGCTAAATTTGGCCATTTAACAAAAACTGAGAAACCTATGCAGGTGACACAATAATCTACTCAGGGCTTGTAGTTGAATACATATTAAAATGTTTTAAAATTTACGTCATGGCCAGCCCAATCTCCAGACCTGAACCCTATTGAAAACCCCTGGTATGTGGTCAAGAGGAAGATGATGGTCACAAGGCATCAAGCAAAGCCGAGCGGCTTGAATGTTTGTGCCAGGAGTTCCATAAAGTCACCCAACAGCAATGTGAAAGACTGGTGAAGAGCATGTCAAGTCTCATGAAAGCTGTGATTGAAAATCAGGGTTTTACTACCAAATATTGATTTCTAAACTCTCTTCCTCAGTTAAAACATTAGTATTGTGTTGTTTAAAAATCAATGTGCACTTGCATTATAAGACGTCTGAAAACACTGCATCTTCTTCTTTTTTGACCAGTTGCCGTTTTCTGAAAAAATGCTCAAAATAACAATATTTTTATTTAGAATTTCTGAATTTTTTTTTAAAAAAAGGCCCACTTTAGAATGTAATTTGTAAAAAAAAGACATGGAGTATATATGTTGTCTCTTTTATTCTGACAACGTAAACCATTGCATATACTCCCAACATGGTGATACTTAATGTCTCCAGTGCATCTCATAGAGACATACTGGGCTACGTGCATCTTGTGTCCTATGTCCCAAATATTTCTGTACAAGAACAAGGAAACTGGTGTCTCGGTACAGGAAAGTTTTATAGTATTTTTGTTTTAAACAAGGAAGGCTCAGTAACCTTAACACATTAAAAGAACTGTATGGGTATCATAACAACTTCATTGAATTGAAGTTGTTATGGTGCCTGTAGGTCCCTAGCACTTTACTACCTAAAGGGCTTAAACCGTTCTCAAACAGTTTAACCTGTGAGGTTGTTCTCCAGCGCTAGATCTGCCTGTCCCCAGAGGCACCCAGTTTCTTCAAACCAGTTTCAGGAAGTGCGGAGTGCATCCGGGCAGGTGCACCGCTGATTGGCTTAGAGCAGCGTCTCTGCCCATCATCACTCCAGGTTTCCTGAAACTGCATTGATTAAGCTGTATGCCTCTAGGGACTGGTAGATCTGGCGCTAGAGTGCAACCTAGTAAAGTAATTTAATTTTGATGGCATTGTTATGGTGCCCATAATGTTCCTTTATAGCACATTCTAACTTTAAAAATAAATATACAGTGGTTTCCTATAGCAATGCATTGAAAGCCAATTAATCCGTTCTGGAGGTCCGAAAAAAGTTAAAATAAGCTGGCATGGAAACCAACCCATAATGCAGAACACACAATAAAAGGCATGCAAACGACAAAGCTCAGCTCCCTACCTTTCCACCGCTTGAGAAATGCAGCAAAAAATTCCCAAAACCGCAGCAAAAAAATTCCAGAATGGCTCCAAAACTCGATGCAAAAAAACGCCCCAACACCTCCACACTCGACGCCACGTGCTACCCACAGACTCCAGCATGCAGGGGGCGGTGCTATAAACCTCCCAGGTGCAATGCATCCTGGCATAACTTGCTTTGGTATTGCGAAAAAAATTAGTAAACAAAAGCATTATTTTCAATGGATTTTCATTTGTAAACCAAAAATTATGTTAACCGAGGCGTTTGTAAACCGAGGTCCCACTGTATTTTTAACAATAAACTATTCCTTTAAAAATACGTACTTTAATAGGTCCATGTTGAATTGGTTGAAACATTGGTCTATCAAGGCCAAAATTTCCGTTTGCATTGAGCTCATCCATATTGGCCATATTTATTAAAAAATAAATAAAAGAAAATAGTCAAACCAATGGTCATGGCAACTAATGTACGTATACATAATTTTCCCACAGTAGTACACAGACAAAGTTATTTACTAAAGCGTAAATTGTGAAAAACGTAATGAACCGTTTACGCCAAATTAACAAACCAGAGACGAATCTCTGTTGTTTTTAGTTTGGCGATACTGGTTTAAAATTTTAAATTCACCTTGAATTTCGGACAATTCAGTTTAGTGGACAACCTGTTCGATATTTTGTAAATGTATTTTTGGAATGTTTCTCACTCATTTGCCATCCTGGTAAAATATTTTATAAATAAATGATAAATACATTCCACCACACACTGCTGTTTAGTAAATAAAACAGACTACACAGAAGGTCCATTTTATTTTGTCCTATGGTGACATTCGCCTTGCTTGTCAGTGTTAACTTGTAATGTATTTATTTTAGCAGCAAGGTGCCCTGAGCCACTGAGGATTGAACCCCAGCCCTGCGTGTGTCTCCATTACTGAGCAGTCCAGGGCGAGGGAGGGACTACTTCACAATCTATGGTTACGTGTGCATTTCACTTGGAAAACGTAGTTCCGGTGGGGGGCGTGGCCTGTTGAATTGCCTACGCTGGCAGCTCGGCGAGTCGGTATTTACCTCTTACACACCCTTCCAGCGTGAGGTGGCCGGGACTCTTCACCGCTTCATCCCATTGCCTACGTGTAACCCCTCCGCCTGCACAGTGTTCACCATGGTGGCCAAACAGAGGATCCGCATGGCCAATGAAAAGCACAGCAAGAACATCACGCAGAGAGGCAACGTGGCCAAGACGGCGGTATGTGGGGCTGGGAGAGATACCTGCTACTGGGAACTGGTTATAGCGGCTATCCTGGGGGTATTGGAGTATCCAGGGATGGAGGCACTGGGCTAGCTTGGGGGCACTGGGCTAGCTTTGGGGTATTGGAGTATCCAGGGATGGGGGCACTGGGCTAGCTTGGGGGCATTGGAGTATCCAGGGATGGGGGCACTGGGCTTTCCTGGGGGTATTGGAGTATCCAGGGATGGGGGAATTGGGGATGGGGGCACTGGGCTAGCTTGGGGGCATTGGGGATGGGGGCACTGGGCTAGCTTGGGGGTATTGGGCTAGCTTGGGGGTATTGGGCTAGCTTGGGGGTATTGGGGATGGGGCACTGGGCTAGCTTGGGGGCATTTGGGATGGGGGCACTGGGCTAGCTTGGGGGCATTGGGGATGGGGGCATTGGGCTAGCTTGGGGGTATTGGGGATGGGGGCACTGGGCTAGCTTGGGGGTGTTGGGGCACTGGGTAGCTTGAGGGTATTGGGGATGGTGGGGGTACTGGGAGAGAGATAACTGGGGATATTGTTGGTGGCATTGTGTATCCTGGGGGTACTTGGCTTACTGGGTATCTTGGGGCACTGGACATGCTTGGTATTTAGGGGAACTGTGGGTACTGGGGATGTGGCCTTGTGCTTGCTGGGTTTCCTATGGTATTGGGGATGGTGGCACTAGGTATCCTGGGGGTTATGCGTATCCTTGGGGAAATTAGGCTTGCTGGGTATCATGGGGTTACTGGGCTTGCTGGGTATCGTGGAGTTACTGAGCTTGCTGGGTATCGTGGAGTTACTGAGCTTGCTGGGTATCGTGGAGTTACTGAGCTTGCTGGGTATCGTGGAGTTACTGAGCTTGCTGGGTATCCTTGGGGATGGGTTATTGGGCATGGCAACCCTAGATTCTGATCTGGGTCCTTTCTTCCCACAGAGGAGTGCAACAGATGAAAAATCATCGGTGGGACCCTGGTTATTGGCGCTCTTTATCTTCGTGGTGTGTGGCTCTGGTGAGTTTATGATCTGTATGAGTGATCCAGATTAGTACTCATCAGCCCAAATATTGATCTCTAAGGAATACAAAAAAAAGTTTCATCCACATATTTCCATAAATCAATAGCATGCTTTCACTTGTCTGTGTGTATTTGTAAATTGGTATACTGATGTGTACCCCAGTATGAACTTTTGTACTGGTGTGTGTTACCACAATAAAATCTGTGTACCCCAGTATGCTAATACTGGCACGTATGTATTCACAGAATTAAATCCGTGTTACCCAGTTTGTACTTTTTATACCAGCACAGATTCCAAGAATGAAATCTTTTGTTGTGTATTCTCCAGATAAAATAAGTGTGTGTGTGATATTTTTAGGAGTATTCCCAGAAATAAATTGGTCCACACCAATATATATCTTTGCACAAGTGTGTACACTCAGAAAAGGGGGTACAATGATTTTCTCTTCTTAAACCTGACATTTCATACATGTGATCAGGGCCTCTGGTAGATTTTCTCTAACATACATCTCCCCAAATTCCTTCCATCAGCTAATTTTGGTTTCAGTTGTGATACTGTCTATTAACAGCTGTTGGAGACACCCCGGAAGCCTCATCAATGTAGCTAGCGTGGCTGCTGTGTTGTGGATCCTCTTCCAACAGTGTCACTGCTTGCTGCCCACATATGCAACATATATATAAATATTCGCTCATGCATGCCTAGTCATACGACCTACTAAACAATTTGCTTCCTCTCCACTACTGAATACTTTAGGTGACATAAAACATTTGCATGTCTGCTTAGCAATAACTGTGTGTTGTAAGTCTACTATTAAATCTGTGTAGGCAGTTTTAAGTGAATGAGAAAGCACAAACTCTGCATTTGTTCTATTTAGTGTGAGTGCACTTCTTAACCCCATGTTTAAATATCGATAATTAATTGACTGCTGGTAATTTACACCATTTTATTTAAAAAATATGAGCCCATTTAGTTGTCTATGATCTATCAGGAACACATAAATTAAAATCTGTTGGTGCCATTTGTGTGTGTGTGTCAAGTTATTATAATTAAATGGGTGTTGAATGATCTTTCGTTTAAAGTGTAAAAGAACATAAAATTCTTTACTCAGAACCAGAATGCCATTTGTATTTTGTATACGGTTTATCTGGGCTCTATTTTCTTGCCATATGTTTGGCAAATTTCTGTTGGCACCTTACCAGCTGTGCAATGCGCATAACAACCATTCCTAAAAACATGGACATATTTTTATACAGATGTTTTCATCCCACTTCACATGCTTTTCTTTAATTTTCATCAATTTTTATTGATTTCTAAGTTAAAAGTAATACAAATTTGATACCCCCCACCATTTGATTAAAACAGGATTTGCTCATTTCCTGCCAGTTGTCTTGGTAATGCAGCTATGTCCACCAACATGTACACTTAGGATCTTATTTATCTTTATTTTTTGCATTGGAAGTGGTAAAAATAAACTCCCGTTTATCACAGCTCTGAGGCAGACTTGCAGATTCAATTTTGATCTGCCACTTGTGAAGTCGTCATTTCTGATGGCTTATGTCCGATTAGGTGCTGTCTCATAGAGCTGCTGCAATCCACCAACAATGCTTCTCATGGAGTAGAATTGAACCAGTGGTTCTCTGAGAAGCACTCATGTCCTGCTTGTGTGAGTGAGGCAGAAAAGTGTTGACTAAGAATTATAAAAGTGCATATTTCTCTTGAAATCAACAATCTCTTAAAAATAATCCAGATGGCACGTGCAGTTACCCCTACAGCATTTCAACCAGCTGAAGTATGTCCCCTTAAGCTGGAAAGTTAAACTCTTTGGAGCGTTTTATTTCTTTGTATTGTTGCCATATTGACATGGTTTACTTGATTAGTCAAGGGACACTCTAAGCACACAAACCAATTCATCTTAATGGAGTGGTTTTGTTGCTTAGACCCTGTACCTTTCAGAAAAATGACAATGTTTGCCAAATGCACTTCCTCATTGAATACTTTCAATTGGTTAATGTATTCACTTGCAGCAGTAATTTGATGCTGCTGAATGGTTGTTATAGAGTCATTGGATTCAGCATCCGATTGGCTGAATGAAGTGAATGCCAAGAATATCCCTCTGTGCTTATTGAAGACATTTAACAAGTTTCCTAGGGCTTTAAGACAGTCTCAGTGCTTAAATGAAGTTGTGATGCCTGGAGGCACCCTTACCTCAAGGGGTTAAATCGCTTTCGAATGGTTTAACCCAGTGGTTCCCAAACTTTTTAGGTTAAAGGCGCCTTTAATATTTCAGTATTTTTCCAAGGCACCCCAAGTCAAAATTTCTAGGTTGCGTATCTGTACAGCACTATAGTGTTAAATACGGTGTTGGTGTTTTGAAGGGGTGCTTGTATAATATAGTATAGTTATTGTGTTTGTATGTAATGTTTGATTACAGGGGTGTGTCTAAATGTAATGTTCACTTTTAAATGCGGATGTGCATTTGTGTTTTGAATGCAGGGGTGTATGTATGTAATATTTGAGTTAGATTGCAGGAGTGTGCTTGTATGTTGTGCTGGTGTTTGACTGCTTGGATGTATGTACATACTTACACAGATATTCATGCACATGAACACACAGATGCATATAAATACACCGACCCATACACACATTCATATAGATACAGACACATACACACAAACATTGATACATGCCCACACACTGACATAAAAACATACACAGATGTGTGCACAGAAGATATCTCTATCTCTTATACACACATACTCATACACATACCAGTGATTTTAAATTTATTTATATATATATATATATATATATATATATATATATATATATTTTATTATTATTATTATTATTATTATTATTATTATTATTTTAATTTTTTTTATCTCCAGCCACCCTCCTTTCAGCTTACCTTATGTGTCAGGATGGTGGCTTGGAGTCCTGCTGCTGTGGGAGTGAGAGGTCTGGAGCTCTTCATGCTCCTATCCCCTCACGTTGCAGCTGTCTCCCTGCATGATGCTAGGAGGAAGTGACAGGCTGTCATTTTCTCCCACCCGGCCAACATTACAGGGGTCTGGTTGTGGTCTTAAAGGACCACTGGGCCCCTGTTCAGCAGTAATGTTTCCTGGTGCTATAATCATAGCACCAGGGAAACATTATGCGGCACCGCTGGTTTAACCCCCAAGTTGCTTTTAGTGGTGGTTTCCAAACCCCCCACCCACCCCATCATCCTATCCAAATTGAATCCAATGTCACTGTGATGCAGAACATAAAGGCTTTCAATTATGGAAAGTCTTTACAGAGAAGTGTCTCCAGTGGCTGCCTGACTGACACACTAGAGGCCTCCTGACAGATGTAAATAAATCTTGCTATTTCATGTAAAGTGTAGTGGTCTTGGTGCTCAAATTGTCGCTTTAACTGCACTCCCCCATAATCGGTTAACATTTATTGTAGCGATAAATTCTGTATAATTGCTTATTCTTAAAAAGAAAAAAAAAAAAAACTTACCTTCCATCCAGGGCAGTCCAACATGCTGATTCTGTGAATTTTACACTAACTTAACACCCTCCCCTAGATCCTGAACTAATTGGCATCTCACTCTTGAGCAGTATTTACAGGAAATGTACAGTTTGTTACGGAGGTCAGCAAACGTGCTCTCCTGTTCTCCACTGCCACACACATGTTGGCATAGATTTGACTGATATATGGGGATGGTACGATATTGTTATAGCAAAATGTATTAATATGTAGACTCTTGTAGTAGAAAATAAGCCAGTGTACCATGTCAAGTACTTTAAATATCCAATATCACTTGTGTTTGTCGCAAGTAGAAAATGAGACCTAGCGCAACCTGATCTATTTCTGCAAAATCAAAAAAATATTTATCCCCCCCCCCACATTTTGCAAAAAGATTATGTAAAATAAAGTTGGTGGGTTTTTTGTTTTGTTTTTTTTTTCTCCTCTTTTTAATCCAATTCTGTATTTACTCTTGTCTTGTTTTCTTTGTACAGCTATTTTCCAGATTATCCAGAGTATTAGGATGGGCATGTAAATACCACCACCAGTTCTGATGCTACTTTCCTCCTGTGAAGTAATATATGAACTGTTTGATCTACGTTGACTGAGACAAAGAAGAAAAAAAAGATTTCACATAACTGCCTGTTCCAGAATGACTGCTCACTACAACTTTCATCTGAGTCATTCCAAATTATTCCACCAAAGTCATTCCAAGTTTTCTAATCCATGCCACAGTGCCTTTAAAGAGCACCATATGCATAAAAGCAATAAAAAGAAGCAGATTCTCTGCTGTTGTGGAGCTACTTTATTCAGTGAAAAGTCAATTTATGTGGAACTAATTTGTATGCAATGTAGATAAATGTAGTCTAGTAAGTCTTGTGTTGACAGCTGTTTGTGTTAAATATTCTACCTTTTTATTGTATAAATTTGGTTAATTTTTTTTTTTAATTTAAAAAGGATAAAAAATCAAAAGCTGGAAAACTGATCCTTAAATAATCGGAATTTTTTTTTCTATTTTTATGCTGCAAAATGTTGTGGTTGTGTTTTGTAGTGTTGCTCCAAATTTCACATGTTGTCCTTGTAGGCTTTGTACATTAAGATAGCCTCATATATTAGGGTATGGAGCTTTACTTAAGTGGGGGGTGGGTGGGGGGGGGGGAGGGGGAAATAGCCATGGAGGGTTTTCACAGGGAGCCATCTAGTGGACAGCTCTATGTGCCATTTGCTTGCATTCTACAAGAGGGCCTGCTCCAGAAGTGGTTAAGAGACCTCTTTGAGAAAGACTGCCTTGTATTACCTTACATCATCTAGAAGATGCTCACCTCAGCTATGACCTTCACCATTGATGGTGGGTGCTGCTCAGACAATTTTGTTGAACTGGGAAAAGGCCACTGCTGCTTGAAAAAATACTGTGGATGTATGCTCTTGTTGTTTGACTTGTTATATTACAGCTGATTTCTTTGCATGCAAAACAATCCATTGTTGATTTAACTGCTTAACATTGGGCTAGACAGTGATTAGAATCTTATTCTATTGTACATTTTAAAGTTTAGCGGCATGGCTTGCTCGAGGAAGTAAAACAACCATAACGGTATTGTAAGAAAATGTGATCGACGGTAAAAGCAGTGTATATTCAGCACACTACTTTTTTTTTTTTTACACAAATAAAATTTTACAAAAAGTGCATTTGTTTTGTTCCTGAAGAAGATATCCATTCAGTGTCTACACCCATGGAATCAAATAATGGTCTTCAAGCGGACCCTGCTGTATATATTGGAAAGTAGGTATTATGATGTACACATGCAGTTTGGGCTAAGCTGTAGGCACATGACTGCGAAGAGCTTAACATAGCCTGGACTATGTGTAAACTGATAACTGCGATATGACCGCTCTCCATTTACTGAGCAGTTCCAATCTTAGTCTTTTACTTGTTAATAGACTACACAACTCCATTATTTGTCAGCTGATACAGGCTAACAGAGACTAGCAAAGAATTATTTGATAAGTAAAAAGATAGCATATAATTAGATCCTGGGAAGAAAAAATTTCCTTTTAACACTATCATTGTCAACTTTACAGAATTTGGATGACATTGGTTTTCTGAGAGTGCTGGGAGCGTTATCTAGGTAGGGCACCCTTGCTAACCAGCTACTACAGTAAGGCAATACTCTAAGCAGTATCTGTTTAAGCAATATTGAGGGCCAGGGATGTCTCTAGATATTGTGAGGCCTTAGGTGAACCTCAAACATGAGGCCCCCCACTAACACCCATACTGGGGAAATAACTGGGGTTGCATTGTGCGTGTATAAGGAGCTTTAGTTATGTTGAAGGATGAGCTTGCAGTGCTGGATGCAAAAAGCTAGTCTCTGTATTCATCGTTCAGAGACTTGTAGTATCGTAGCTCCCTTTGCCGCTATGTGTAGTTATGGCATAATTTGCAAATGAAATTAATTAGCAATAAACAAATTGAATTGCACTTATGTTACTAGTGTATACACCATTGCGGGGTTTAGTTTCATAGCCTGGCAGTCATGTACACATGGGTTTAAATGTTTGTTTTATGAAAAAAACATCTAAAAAGTAATTTACTGAATAATAAAGTTACAGATAGGAAAACCGTGTCAAAGAAATTTTCCCCACATATTCGCTAACACTTTCACGTATATTATCCTATATGTTCTTTATATATGTTTCCCCATGTATTGTATATATCTGTTGCCACTTTACCATTGCATTGCCCATACCACCCTCACATTGCAGCCATAGACTCTCTAATACACATTCTGAAAAACATTGACAAGTACAGAAATATGGTGACCATTTGTATCTGGCTGTGTGTCTTTCTAAGTGTGTAGCATTGTCTACGTGTTTGCCTGACAGTGAGAATCCTTGTATGTGAATGCTTGTCTGTTGGCATGTGTATGTTTCTGTTTTGGACTGTATGATGGGGAGCTGCTTGTGGTCTTTGTGCATTGTGTTTATGGCAAAGCTGTGTTGCATTACTGTGTGTATGATGACTGTCTTTAGGGGGTAACTGACAGGCAATGTGGGTGAATGATACTGGGTTAATGTAATAAGTGTAGCGGAGTGAATGTGACAGAGTTGGGGAAGCGTTTGACAGAATTAGGGGTGTTAATGTGATCGGGTGAGTTTGGCAAGGTTGTGGGTGTGACAGGATTAGGGATGTTAATGTGACCAGTGAGTGTGGCAAAGATGGTGGGGATGTGATTGGAGCAGTTAAGATAGAATGAGTCTCACAGAGTTGGGGTAAATGTGGAAGAGGGAGTGTGATAGGATGAGTGTGGCATGGTTGGGGAGAGAGTGTGATGGTGAGTGGCATGATTGGGAGGGTAAGTGTGACAGGATTGGAGGGGTTAATGTAATAGGATGAGTGTGGCAGGATTAGACGATTTAAATGTGATATGGTGAGTGGCAGAACAAGTGAGCGTGAGTCTGGCAGGATGGAGGGGGTGACTAGGTGGGGAGGCTTCCCACACTATATCTTTTTTTTTCTATGCAGTAATTGATTAACTCAGCGATGGCTAACCTTGACACCATAAATTGTTTCTGGACTACATTTCCCATGATGCTCAGCTAGCTTTTAGACTTAAAGCTAGCTGAGCATCACGGGAAATGTTATCCAGAAACAATTTATGGTGTCAAGGTAAGCCATCACTGGATTAACTGGTTGTCAAGTGGTCCCTCTCCCTGGTGGTCTAGCTATCCTGGCTGCAGCTCTGACATGTGCAGAGTTGCAAACCATGATGTAGTTCAGGGGTAGGCAACCTACGGCACTAGTGCCATGCACAGCACTCAAGGTGTCTTTGCACGGCACTCAAGGCTGCTAGAGCCAAACAGGCACTGGCCTATCAGGAGTCCCAGTGAAACTTCAGATATCTGCTAATACAAAAAGATGTTTGAGGACAATCCTCAATTTATACATTGCAGCACGTAGAGTAAGTGATCTCAGATCACTTCCTCCCAGCACTTGTGAATGGGAATCCACACTGTAGTAGAGCAGCTTGCAGCTGCTATTGCAGCTCCTGACCTTGACCTGTACCTGGCCAGCCTGGTCCCCACTGGAACCCAGGGAAGCCACTCACACTGCTAGATTTACACAGAAATGCACAATAACCCTCCCCTCATACAAATAATACGAACAGCCCACGCACAAACACACACACACAGTCTGCACAAACACACCACCACCAACAATCCACATACATGCAACATCTCACATGCAATACCCCAAGCAGCCCCCACACATACACACACACACTACCAAACACACAATGTGACATATCCATCCACACACACACACAATTCCACAAGCAGCCCCCATACACAGCCCACATTCATATGTGTCATACACGATACTACAAACTACTCCTGAACATATACAATATAATAGCTCATAAACACACAAATACAACAATACAAAGCAATTACAGTATAAATAACACAAGCAGAATACAGCAGCATACACACCTCAATATAAAAAAATAGGACCGGCACGCTACGGGACATCACAATCCTACATCGGCACAGTGCTGCTAAAAGGTTGCCTACCCCTGATGTAGTTGTTATGCAAGGTTTTTGTGTCAGAGCGTTGCCGTGGTAGTACACGGCAACACTCTGGTTTTCCGGAGCTCGTGAGATATTTAATGGTCTGCAAAGCTGCACCCGGTGGAGCTGCAGACTGGAGACTGCTGGTCTCTCTCAGCGCAGACTGAGTTGAGGGTCCCCGCACCCAGCTCCACACAGGACAAGCTGCTTGGCTACCTCCTGGTACCGGATCAGTGGACGTGCCTAATTAGAGAGCTCCCTCTGTTAAGGGGCATCTAATACTATGCATTTACCCCACAATTAATAAAAGAAAGTATAGCAGAAGTTATCAATTCAAACCTGTTTTGGAAGAGCTATTAGGGCCACTGTAAGTATTGTAACAGCTTTCTCTCATTGAAGTGATTATAGTGTCCCAGGCGAAGTTTTACCATTCAGCATACAACTATTTTTAATGCTAATGGAGAGTTCATTGTAGCCAATCCCCTCTGTGCTGCTTGGGCAAATCAGGAAACATTAGTCTGAGCAGCAATGGTTGGCTGTGATTGGCTGAGAGTGTCAGCTGACAGCATTCAACCTTTCACAGCTCTCATTGCTGATATGAATTGGTAAGGCTTGAAGGAAGGGTGTAATCTCGGCATTACTCGGTAATTCCAGGAGTAGTGATGTGAACGGCGAATGCGAACTTCCGCAAATGTTCGCGAACCGGGCGAACCGCCATAGCCTTCAATGGGCAGGCGAATTTTAAAACGCACAGGGACTTTTTCTGGCCACAATAGTGATGGAAAAGTTGTTTCAAGGGGACTAACACCTGGACTGTGGCATGCCGGAGGGGGAAAATTACACAGTTGATGCAGAGTCTGGTCTTAATCCATAAAGGGCATAAATCACCTAACATTCCTAAATCACAATGGATATGGATTGACACCTGACATATGACATATTGACATATGGATTCACACCTGTCCTCAGAGACCCTGATACACACTGACACAGAGCAGAATAGGGACTGTTCTCCCTACATAGGGTCACTTGGCAGGTATGGATTGACACCTATCCTAAGGATCCCTGATACACACTGACACAGAGCAGAATAGGGACTGTTCCCCCTACATAGGGTCACTTGGCAGATATGGATTGACACCTATCCTCAGTATCCCTGATACACACTGACACAGACCAGAATAGGGACTGTTCCCCCTACATAGGGTCACTTGGCAGATATGGATTGACACCTATCCTCAGGATCCCTGATACACACTGACACAGAGCAGAATAGGGACTGTTCCCCCTACATAGGGTCACTTGGCAGATATGGATTGACACCTATCCTAAGGATCCCTGATACACACTGACACAGAGCAGAATAGGGACTGTTCCCCCTACATAGGGTCACTTGGCAGGTATGGATTGACACCTATCCTCAGGACCCTGATACACACTGACACAGAGCAGAATAGGGACTGTTCCCCCTACATAGGGTCACTTGGCAGATATGGATTGACACCTATCCTAAGGATCCCTGATACACACTGACACAGAGCAGAATAGGGACTGTTCCCCCTACATAGGGTCACTTGGCAGATATGGATTGACACCTATCCTCAGGATCCCTGATACACACTGACACAGAGCAGAATAGGGACTGTTCCCCCTACATAGGGTCACTTGGCAGATATGGATTGACACCTATCCTAAGGATCCCTGATACACAATGACCTCAGAATAGAGACTGATCACTTGGCAGATATGGATTGACACCTGTCCACTGATACACTGACACAGAGCAGAATAGGGACTGTTCCCCCTACATAGGGTCACTTGGCAGATATGGATTGACACCTATCCTAAGGATCCCTGATAAACACTGACACAGAGCAGAATAGGGACTGTTCCCCCTACATAGGGTCACTTGGCAGATATGGATTGACACCTATCCCAAGGATCCCTGATAAACACTGACACAGAGCAGAATAGGGACTGTTCCCCCTACATAGGGTCACTTGGCAGATATGGATTGACACCTGTCCTAAGGATCCCTGATACACACTGACACAGAGCAGAATAGGGACTGTTCCCCCTACATAGGGTCACTTGGCAGATATGGATTGACACCTATCCTCAGTATCCCTGATACACACTGACACAGAGCAGAATAGGGACAGTTCCCCCTACATAGGGTCACTTGGCAGATATGGATTGACACCTATCCTAAGGATCCCTGATACACACTGACACAGAGCAGAATAGGGACTGTTCCCCCTATATAGGGTCACTTGGCAGATATGGATTGACA